AACGAATGTAGGCCTTATAAGCAGAGCTTTTACAGAGGATAAGCACTTCGTCTGTTCATGTTACCAGTACTCATTCTCCTTGTTCGCAGCGCAGGGAGCTAAATACCTCACTAGATTTGAAGTGTAGTTATTATAATAATAGTGTATTTTCCAGATGCAGACATTATTTTAAGTTGGAGAATGTGAAATACTTATTGCAGATGTCCAAACACATGTTTAAAAGAGAAATAAGGCAATGACAATATGTAATATGTGTTCTGTAATGATTCATAATTGTATTCTTTCTGATGATGCTTGTGATGCAGAGATTTTCTTGCCATTTCCAAGTTTTTCTTGACACAGGCCTGGCTCACCCCTGTGTTGTGTTGTGTGCTGTAGGTGGGGATTGTGGGCAGGACTGGAGCAGGAAAGTCCTCCCTGACCATGGGGCTGTTCCGCATCATCGAGGCCTCAGAGGGTCAGATCCTCATCGATGGAGTGGACATCTCAGAGCTGGGCCTGCACCAGCTGCGCTCACGGATCACCATCATCCCACAGGTCACTAGAACACTGCACTCTTTACACTTTTATTTACACTTTGTGCCAGTTTTGTTCCATGTGCATAGAGCCAGTAATTTCAGGAGACGTGATCCATAAACCAGGTCAACAAATCTGCAGTTTGACAGTTACATGGCAAAATCCACCTGAGGATTGGGACTTTCCTCCAGCTTAGTATAACTATAAGCATTCTCAAACACTGTGATGTAATGAGAACACAGAATATTTTGTAAATTTCATAAAAACAACTTTGGCAGAGTGGAAGCTCTTTTTATATTTACCCCACCCTCAGCTAGCATACCAACATGGACACAAAAGTCTGTAAACGTTAGATGCAAGCTGTACACAGCAGACTTATTTTGACCTCAATTTTTTATTATATTTGTATGGGCACATTTTGCTCAAATACATAGAACTTAAAGGCCTGGTACCTGATTTTTTTCCAAATCCAGTCTATGGCACTTGCTCCAGTCTCCAGTCCATCTCCAACGTACTTGAGTTTTGTGTTCCCCCAGGACCCAGTGTTGTTCTCGGGTTCTCTGCGCATGAACCTTGACCCCTTCGGCAACTACACGGACGAGGAGGTGTGGAGAGCCCTGGACTTCTCTCACCTCAAGGTGTTCGTGTCAGGACTCACGGGCAAACTGGACTATGAATGTAGTGAAGGAGGGGAGAATCTCAGGTATGCGCAGCACCGCACTCACTCTGGAGGGCCACTCTCACTGGGAAATCACTTTTACAGAGCTTAAAGATGGATCGATTTTTTTTCAGAATATAGCAGAATATAAACCCAAGGACAGAATATACACCATTTCCCATTTAAATGAATTCGATTTTTTTTTCTGGTTCAGCCTTACAATTTCTCACACGCAAATATTTCACCATAGTTTTCATCATATTTTCCAGATCAAAATGGAAGTACTCATGAATAGTAGGTCCAAGTTACTCTTCAATCTCATAGCCCCAAACCAGACCACAGAAAAACAAACACATGTGTCCCATGTCCAATTAAGACGTTATATACTGTTTATCAGTCTATTAAAACTGTGATTTATGTACTATTCTGTTGAGTCAAACTAAAAATAATTTCAAAAGACTAAAGCCAGATAGAAATATGTAGTGCAGAGTGGTGTGAGCAGTGTAAGCAGCTGTCCTGACTGTTTGGGCTCTGTGCTCTGCTGACACATTCCTGGGACTCCTGTTTCCTACTGTACCGTTCCTGCCCCCTCCTCCTCCTCCTCCTGTTCATTTAAACTTAACAGTGGGAAGGGTAGCTGAAGGTTTTACTCATTTAAGAGTTACTTAACTGGTATGTTGTACTGAATGTTGGTACCTGGCAGATGAAAGTTACTGAGTCAAAGTATTTTTTCAACAGTGTATCACATACTCACTTCTGGAAGAACAGATTGGAGTGAGATAATGTGACTGGATTATTTTATTATTATTAAACTAGGAAATTGCATGATAATCACATCAAACATTGACATTTTCTCCACCTGACTGGTTTAAGTCCCTTTGTCTGAAAAGTAAATGTGTGTGATTTGTTGTGCTGTGTGCAGTGTGGGTCAGCGGCAGCTCTTGTGCCTGGCCCGCGCTCTGCTCAGGAAGACCAAGATCCTGGTGCTGGACGAGGCCACGGCGGCTGTGGACATGGAGACGGACAACCTGATCCAGTCGACCATCCGCTCCCAGTTTGAGGAGTGCACAGTGCTGACCATCGCACACCGCCTCAACACCATCATGGACTACACCAGGTGGGAGTGACCGCACACACACACCCACACACACACCCACACACCCGCACACACACACACACACACACAACCACCATCGTGGACTACACCAGGTGGGAGTGACCGCACACACACAACCACACACACAACCACACACACACACACACACACACATGCACACAACCACCATCATGGACTACACCAGGTGGGAGTGACCGCACATAAACTCGCACACGCATACACAAACACACACACACAACCACACGCACACACACACACACAACCACCATCATGGACTACACCAGGTGGGACAGACCGCACACACACAACCCCACACACACACACCCCCACACGCACACACACACACACACAACCACCATCATGGACTACACCAGGTGGGAGTGACCGCACACACACAACCACACACACACACACACACACACACACACACACACACACACATGCACACAACCACCATCATGGACTACACCAGGTGGGAGTGACCGCACATAAACTCGCACACGAATACACAAACACACACACACAACCACACGCACACACACACACACACACACACACACACAACCACCATCATGGACTACACCAGGTGGGAGTGACCGCACACACACACACACACAGACACAGACACACACACAAACACAAACAACCACCATCATAGACTACACCAGGTGGGAGTGACCACACACACACACACAAACACCATCATGGACTACACCAGGTGGGACTGACCGCACACACAGACACACACACACACACACACAAACACACACACAACACACACACAAACACACAAACACACACAAACACCATCATGGACTACACCAGGTGGGAGTGACCACACACACAGACACACACACACAAACACACACACAAACACACAAACACAAACAACCACAATCATGGACTACACCAGGCGGGACTGACCGCACACAACCACCATGTTTAAGGTTATTCAGACAGTAGTAAATATCCAACATGCTGAACATGAGTTTTTAGAGCTGCGACCTGACAAATAGTGGTAACAGAATCATGCTGACTCCCAGACAGAGTGTACCACAAATAAACATTTAGCATTAGTCAGGTCACACCTCTCAGACCTTAGAACCAAATCGGGCAAAACACTGAGCTAAGAATTGTCAGCTTGCATCTGTCATAACGGTGTCCTCTGTTCCGTAGGGTCCTGGTTCTGGATAAGGGTGAGATGGCAGAGTTTGACAGTCCAAGCAACCTGATCGCTCAGAGAGGACTCTTCTACAACATGGCCAAAGACTCCGGGCTGCTCTAAAATGCCCCAAACCATGGCATAATGCTGATTACAAAGAAAAGCTATTTATATTTATGTATTTTGTGGTGTTGATTAGTGAAAATAGTACAATGATAAAAAAGAAGACAAAGACTACTAAGCCCAAATACTGTCCTCTGTGTTTGAGGCCATGATGATGTACTCCCATCATCATGGCCTCATTTACAACAGAACATCGTGGCAGCTTCTCCATATCATCATAATCCAGCTCAATGTTGTTCCAAAATAGTCTGATTAGGTCAGAGCGGATGTGCCCGGAGACGTGATGTCTAATGTCTAGAGACGGGCTACTACTCCGTCCACACCTTTCTTTGGGATGCATCATGTTTGAGTGTTTAAGTGTATCGTATTGGCTGAATTGTCAAAATATGGTTGATTTAATATTTTATTTCTCCATTTGTTTTATGCTTAAAATACATTACTTTTATTATCAAAATGCCTTAATTATGTAGAATTAAAAAACAAATAAATTATGAAATGTAAAATGTTGCAAAATCAGAATTACAATGTTTAAAGTGTTACATATTTTAATCTAGGTCTTTGCTCCAAGGATGCTTATAGGGATAACTCCTTGGTTTGTTGGTCAGTTGTTGCTTTTGTCAGCTGTGCATTTCAGTGTCAAAAAAAAGTGGTGCGCCATGACAGAGTTTTGCACTCCAAGGTTCTTTCTGTTGTACAGAGGAAAGAACTGCTAACTTATTTTGAATGTATACTTTAGGATCTACTGTACATATTCAGGTTTGTACTTTGTAAATTAAATTTCTTTGTAATAAAATATAAAATACCATGCTTTTATTTGGAGTTATTGCTCAATTTCTCCACATGCTCCATTCTCCCTTGTGAAATCACTAAGTGTTGAAGTGCTCCACTGTGTTTTTAAAATTCTTCCTTCAGCCCTCATCCAGGTCATTACAGTGCTTAAATTGCCTTCACTATGGTTCTTGCGCCCTCTACTGGCAATTGGTATTTTAAATGGTCAAAAAATTAGGTATAATTTTTTTTATCTTCCATGCGTTATTTTAATGACTTATAGCATCTGAAATGGAAAAGTTCTAAAATAATTAAAAGAATCTTGCTTATACAGTCAGCATATTAAAACGTGTAAAGTAATATGTTTAAAATAGACCTTTATTTATTTGTCAATGCATTCATTTAAAGTTTTGGAAACAATATGTAGTGGTTAAAAACTCCACTGCTGCACTGCCGATTTTTTTTTTAAGAATGAACAGAAGATGGATGACGTCACATGAAAACTCAAATCCCCACAATCCTTTGCGACAGTTGCATCGATCGAAAATGGCGGCGGGTAATGGATGGATGTGCGCTTGAGTCGGCTTCAAATCAGTGAGTTTTTACTGTACAGTCTTTGCATATGTCGCCGTGGATGTGCTAGTGCAGAGCGGCCGGGGGTGTTAGCTCCCACCAGGGTAGTATCGGTTGAAAAGGGCTCGATCCGCGGTGTTTACGGGCTCTTTGCTTCGCCCGCTAGCCTCGGCGAGCTACATCACCCAGCAAGAATGAATTGTTCCGCTGACACATATTTGCAGATCCCGCTCCTGTGCGTGTGTCTGTCCACGGCCCGTGACACAGCCGTGCACAGCTGCCGTGCTTCTTTCACACGGAGCTCTTCTGAGACGTGTGAGCGCAGGTTTAGGACAGACCACCGGGGCCTCTCCCGACAGCGGCCAGCCTCGGAGCCCCGGGGAAGGAGGCAGGGCAACCGGGCTGTTGTGTCCCGACCGCCGCCTCCTCCTCACCGCGTCTGTGTCCGTGTTTACAGAGATAAGACTCCGACAAAATCACGCATCTGACGGCTGGGACGGTGAATGTAAGAGATCCAAGTGCCTTTGTCATCGTAGTGGACTAATGGACATGGAAATGTTATTTCTTTGCCGCATTTCGTGACTGTAAAATAATAATCAACCTCCACCTTTCTCCCCAGTCTCCTCCTGTGGACTCCTCAGGATACTGTGGAAGAATGTACTCTACATACAATTGAAGTTCTAGTTCTCTAAAGACGAGGTGGATACTGTTTTATGGGAAGGATTATGTTGAGAAAACTACTGCTGAGTATTTGAAATTCATTATGGTAGAGGCAGAGCTTGAGACAAAATAACTTGATAGTTTAGGGTTATCTTGATAATTAGGCCTGTCACAATAATACATTTTGAAGCGCGATATATTGCTACAGTGAAATATTGACATAAATAATAGTGTTGGAACTACTTGATGTCATTTACACAAAGCAAGATAATCCCATTAAACCCATGTTTAAATGTATAGTAACATTAAAAGTCGTAAACAAACAATACATAATAGTATGAACCAATAATTAGCCATTTATTCTACTCTCTACAGCTCAAATCTTACCTGTTACACAAAAATCGCTAAAATCTCTCCACTTTGGCAAAGAAATTATATATTTTGAGCCCCAAAATAAATTGTTCCAGCTTTCATAAACTGATAAGTCAATATAGTATTTATAGTTTATCATTTTGGCTTTATCTAGTGTCTTTGAATGTACTGGTGGAGGTTGTAGTATTGGAAAAATTACCCACTGTAATGCAGAAATAACACTTTTAACTTTTTTAAATTATTAAGTAATTTTTTTTTTTTTTTTTTTTTTGCAGCATTTGGAGAGATTTATCATAAACAATATACCGGGACAGATAGTTACATTTGGCCATTTTTTCTATTTGATTTTATTTAAGATAGTGGTAGCACAAGTGATCCATAACGTGAATCATTTTATTTATTCTTTTGGTCTATAAATGTCACTATTTGCCGCTGAACAAAAACCACAGATTACTTATTAAAATAGTTATTTCTATATGTTCATGATAACACTGCAAACTATAATGGGTTGAATGTTTTTTTTTTTATTGTTTTGCGCAGCTACTTTTTAGACTATGAAGTAGTGATGGGAATTTCAGCTCTTTTTGGAGAGCCAGGTCTTTTGGCTCTGCTTACTATAAAGAACCGGCTCTTCCAGCTCCCAAATGGCTCCTCATAAATGAATTTATCACCAAAAATAATGCAAAACTGTGTGTAATATGAATTACGATTGTAAAAAAATCCTTAAGTATAAAAAAGAATAAAAAGACCCACCTCAATTTGACAAACTTTTAGTTTATTTATTTGTGGTGCCTGTTTGATATATTTTCACTTTGCACAATCCACACTCTGCATTTGAACTGCATATTGCACTGAAATCTGTCCAAATTTGATTGATTTGGTTTCCTGCTGCTGTCACTCATTTTCTCATCCTTCGCCTCTCTTTCTCCCTCCCTCTCCCTCAGTCTCTTGTCTCCCTCCCTCATGTCGTGTGTATGCTCACCGCACATCTCGACCAATCACATGATGTTTTGACAAAAAAAAAAAAAAAAAAGCTGAGGAAATAGATTAGAAAGCACAAAAAAACTTCTTCATCTTCCAACTAGGAGCCGGCTCTCATCATTCACTTCAAAGAGCCGAAACATTCGTGACCGACACATCACCACTATGAAGGTGAAAATTAGACTTTGGGGGGCCACCACAGTCTCCTCTGTTAATGGAAAACACTGCATTTCATTTTTTGAATCTTTATTATTAGATTGTAGTGTGTGAGCTGCTGTGGTCAAGTCATTTCCCTCATTGATCAATGTTTGTCTGAATATTTTAAAGCCCTGAGATAATAATGTATTCTTGTTCTTCCCAGGTTTCCAGAGGCTTCTGGTGTGAAAGCTCTCCCTTCTCCTGTCCTGGCCTGCACGTGTGTAGGAGCACACCTGGACCATGGACCTGTCTGTAGCATCAGGCTTCAAACCGAAGCCAGCTTTCCTGCCTGGTGAAGCGTCCGAGCTCCCTGACAGAAGCCCGCTGGTCGACCCCCAGACTGAGGGTCCACTCTCCCCTGGCCCTGACCAGCCTTCCCCCCCTGCTGCTGCCTCTGTGGATTCCACCTTTCCTTTTGACCATGTAAACGAACTGGACGGAACTGCCATTTCCTCAACATCTCCTCCATCGTCTCCACTGCCCAAAGACACTAAACAACCAAGAGAAATGTACGATCCATTTTCTCCAACTGACGGTGAGAAAGAGGAAAGGGCGGGAGGTGAAGAGGAGGTAGCCGAGAAGTATGACCCGTTTGAGCCCACCGGTTCCCCTGCATCAGACCACGATATGAGCACTGAGGATTTGAAGAACCAGGTAGAAGAAGTACAAAATGATGAGTCCACCAAAATGGAAGAAGGTGTAGAAGAACCTCCTGATTCTACAGATGCATTGGTGGACTCTCCCAAGCGCTCCCCTGGTCTGCTGACTCTGCGGAGGACAGTGGACTGCAGCACCATCAAAGAGGAGCACACGGACTCAGAACACTCGGAGATAGAGGAGGGGGAGATAGTGGGACTGGCCGACCGCGAGGCTGGGCTCAAACGGCCAATTGTAGAAAGCCTCTCTGTCAACTCTCCAAGCTCCACCTTTTTCAGTTCGAAACCCGAGCGGATCCTGCGTGTCCTGGACGGCGACGGGTTCGTGTCGGTGCGGGCTGATCCGGACTGGCCGGTTAACAGGGAGCACGAGGAGGAGCCGGTGGTGGGAGTGGAAGACCTGAGGAGGAAGTTGGTGAGCAGGCGGAAGGAGAGGTACATCACGTTTCCCGGATCCTCCATCACGCTCACCACAGAGACAACCCCACCCTCCGGGCACCTACACAGCCCGCCGCCAACACCACCGCAGGCCCCGCTTGACGAGGAGGATGGCAAGACACGCAAGTCTTCCAAGAGCTCCAACGACCGCGACAGGCAAAAGAGCAAGGATAGGAAGAGTGGAGCAAAAGAGGAGAAGAGGAAAAAGAGGAGGAAGGAGAAACGAAGTGCGCACAAGAGCAAAGATGGAGCAAAGGACGATCTGAAAAGCACCAAGGAGGCAAAGTCTAAGGGCTCCAGCCGCAGCCGCAGCTCCAAAAGGAAGAAGCGACAGCATGGAAGCCCGGATCCCGCGGGGGTAGAACGCACATCCAGGGTATCACCGGAGCGCTCCCGGGACAGGCCGAGGGACGCAAGCAGACACAGGGACAGAGACCGGGACAGAGACCGGGATCACAGCCGGGACAAGAACAGGGAACTAGACCGGAGTCGAGACCGCAACAGTGAGCGCAGCAGGGACAGACATCGAGAGCGCAGCAGAGAGAGGACGCGAGGAGACAGAGAGAGGAGCAAGGACAGAGGAGACAAGGAGAGAAGCAGAGACAGGGACAGATACTGGGACAGACACAGGGACCGCGACAGAGATCATAGAGACCGTCGAAGCCAAAGAACTGATGAGGGCGATTCCAGGGGCAGCAGGAAGAGGGCGCACGAGTCTAGAAGCCGTGAGCGAGACGGTTCAAAGCGGTCCAGAAGAAGCTCTGAAAAGAACGAAGGAGACCGAGAAAGACACCGGGACAGAGACAGAGAGAGGGACAGAGAGAGGAGGCGAGACGGGCGCCCAGTGGTCCCCCCGTCTATACAGGACCTTAACGGCTCCGACCTGTTTGCCATCAAGAGGACGATCACGGTCACCACTACCACAACTACCACCACTGTCCCGGGCTCCCCACGGCTTGCCCCAGGGTCCCCCAGCAGGTCACCTCTGGACATGGACAAGTCTCACCGGAAAAAGAAGCGGAAAGGACGCTCAAGTCCTGAAGACAGAGGACACCCCAGTCGTTCGCGCTCGCTCTCACCCCCGCGCTACCACAACTACGAATCTGACCGCTACTCGGACAAACTGGACATCGACGTGCTGTCCTTGGATGGAGAGGCACTGGACTCGGACTATCCCTCCTTAGAAGACACACCCCCACCAGCTCCACCCCCTCCTTTACCCAGTCCCAAAGCCAAACCCACATCCAAGACTGGTCAACTAAAGAGGAAGTCACTGAAGAAGAATTCTGAATCCTCTAGAACCAAAAATAAAGCCCTTACAGGGTCTGCGGCATCAGATATCACACCTGTTTCATCTGGACTTCCCGTGGTCAAACGAACGCGCAAGGTGAAGGACAAAACCCGCGACAAGGGAAGTCGGAAAGAGCTGAGCCGCTCCGGCAAGTCGAAGAAGGATGGCACCACCAGCCGGAAAGGCAAACTACAGTCCAAGGTGTCTGTGCTGGTGCGTGAGGGTGTCAGCAGCACCACAGGCTCCTCTGGGAAACTGGGCATGGACCTGTTGGGGAGCGGAGGACCCGGGAGTGGGGCAGGTGGGTCGGTGGTGGGCGGCTCTATTGCAGTCGTATTTTGCAGAGACAATGAGAGCAGATCTCCATTCCTCAAGCCCTGCTCAGAGCCGCTCTCACTGGGAGGACGAGGCAAAGATTTGAGCTCCATAGGGAAGCGCAGTAGCCTGGCTGCTCCACCGTCCTCCATGAGTAGTCCAGCCACTATTCCATCTCAGAAGGCCAAGCCTGGCTCCATCACCTCCACCTCCTCATCAGCCTCGTCGCCCTCTTCTTCTCTGGTGACAAAAAGGCGGCGCCGCCTGGTGAAGAAGACGAGAGAGAAAGGTGGGGCTGGTGGTTCCAAAGCTGAAGAGGGTGCTCAGGGTGCAGCCAGTGCCTGGGTAGGAGCCTCCACAGAGCCTCTAGCCACGTCCGGAGAGGTGTGCAAAGCTGCCAGCCCTCACCCGGGCCCTGCTGGCTCTGCGCCCTGCTCCTCCTCCTCTTCCTCCTCCTCCACCAGTGTGCTCCCTCCCTCCTCCTCACCCCCTCCCTCTCCTCCTCCCTCAGCAGCTCCCATGCGGGACATGAGGGAATCCTCTCCAGACTCTCAGACTGTGGACAGCAGCTGTAAAACTCCAGAGCCTTCATTTTTGGTGGAGGAGTGCCCCTCCCAAACCAGTCCCACCACGCCACCCTCATCCAGTCCCTCCATCATGCCCACGTCCCTGGGCACTGGTCTTAGCTTGACCCCCACAGACCCCCCGAAGCCCTGCAGCCCTCCCCCTTGCCCCTCCTCTTCTGCTGTCTGTGGACTGTCTTCTCTCTCCTTGGACCCCTCTTCTTCCTCTGTGTCCTCATCCTCAACCAACAAACCTCCACCCCCTCCACCTCCCCCCACTGCTCCTGCTCTGCCCTGGAGCCTGCAGACCGGGGTGGACTGCACCGCGGGAGGCGTGCTCGCGTGTGAGTATGGTCTTCTCTCAAAAGCTCTGGAAATGTTTACAGACCTGTACTTAACAGCTCTTGTGACGCTGATAGAATAGTTTTAATATCCTACATCCTTCACAAATGTGAATGAAGCACAAGTTAATGTTTAAACGTATAAATGATGTTTTTTTGTGCGTCTGCTTTTGCTTTCAGTGACTGCCTTACTCTTCAAAATGGAGGAGGCGAATATTGCCAGCAGGGCCAAAGCGCAAGAGTTCATCCAAGCTACTAGCCAGGTAAGGCTATAATTTCAGTGACTTCAATGTGAGCTAGTGTTTTATGGCATTTGATCTGGGATCTCAACTGATCAAGTCAATGCGAGATCATAGCTGTGATTGGCTGCTGACAGTTCCGTCATCTCCTCAGAAGCAAATTTTCAGTTCCATATGAGAGAAGAGCTAACCTTTTTTAGCATTGTATCGTGCTATGCCAAGGCTGTGATGTAAAATATGTTTATATGTACTGTTTGCTCAAAAATGTAGCCAGCATCTGTTAGAATGGTCTATCCCAGAGTTTCTGCTATTTGTCTAATGTTTGTGTTGTGCCCGTCCTGTCCCAGATTCTGTCCCAAGCCAATCAGAGCCAGCCTACCGCCTCGGCCTCGTCACAAGTCCCGCCCGCGCCCTCGCTCCCGCCGCCGTCTCGTGTCAGCCCCGGGCAGTTCATCCTGCACAACTCCTCCCACCTGCACCCATGCGCTCAAACTCCGCCCCCGGTTGGGCTCTCAGGGCTCAGTGGGAGTGCCGGGGACTCGGGCTGGGATAATGACAACAAAGACCCTGACAAGGTACATCTCCCTTTGTGCTGAACTGATGCTAGGACATTAACTGGTGTCAGTGCTGAGCATGTGTGTTTTTCCCCTCAGTATCTGAAGAAGCTGCACACACAGGAGAGAGCAGTGGAGGAGGTGAAGCTGGCCATCAAACCATACTATCAACGCAAAGACATCAACAAGGACGAGTACAAGGACATTCTCCGCAAAGCAGTGCACAAGGTACACAGAGCAGTGGGGGGCACACAGAGCAGTGGGGGGCACACAGAGCAGGGGGGCACACAGAGCAGTGGGGGCACACAGAGCAGTGGGGGGCACACAGAGCAGTGGGGGGCACACAGGGCGTTAAGGGGCACACAGGGCATTAGGGGGGGCACGCAGGGCGTTTGAGGGGCACGCAGGGCGTTTGAGGGGCACGCAGGGCGTTTGAGGGGCACGCAGCTCGTTTGAGGGGCACGCAGCTCGTTTGAGGGGCACGCAGCTCGTTTGAGGGGCACACAGGGCAGTGTGCTTAGCAAGCATCACACAGTATCACAACTCAACTTAACTCAATGTAATTGTTACAGATTTGTCACAGCCGTACTGGAGAGATAAACCCAGTCAAAGTGAGCAACCTGGTCAAGCTGTATGTTCAGAGATACAAGTACTTTAGAAAGCATGGACGCAAGATGGACGGGGACGACAGAGAGGACCGGGAACCTGGGGGTCTGCACTCCTCTGCCTGAACCTGGGTGGACTGTCCCAGTCTGATGAGGACTTCCTCTGAGGGGATGACCAGCCTGGGGAGACTTTCCTCCTCTGCCTTGTAGTGCATTGGCTCTCATAGACATGCTTTTGGGTCCGTCCATATGAAACCAGCCGCCCTCTCCTATGAGCATTCTCAGATTTGGCTGAAAATTAAATTCTAAAAATTTCTAAAATTACCAAATGAAAGAATCTAAAATTTTAGCTCAATCCCTTCAGTTGTTCCTGAGTTATGGCCCGTTGAAATTTTGGGGTCAGCTTCCTAGCTCTATTAAGTTATGGTCTCTTAAAAATGCTTATAAATTAAGGTGTCCGAAAAAGTGAGCATGGCCCCAAAATTTCAACGGGCCATAACTCAGGAACGACTGACGGGATTGAGCTAAAATTTTAGATTTTTTCATCTGGCAATTTTAAAAATTTTTAGAATTTTTTTCTGCCAAATCTGAGATGGCTCATAGGGGAGGGCGGGGACGGACTCTTTTATCTTATCTTTTAGAAGTCTCCGTCTTGTTGCTGTGATCTGACTGTAAATATGTTTCACACACAGATACACACGTTGGAGAATGGAAGCAGTAAACTTGTGTGTACTGAGACAAACTGTGCAATAAATGGCCTTTGTGATGTAGATCTTTTTCAGCAGTGTTTTTGAGGGGCCTCTTGTGTCCTTCACTCGCTCCATGCTTTAGAAGGCCTATACTTTTCTGCAGTCCTGTTCCTTGTCATGACCATCATGTATGTTTTTATATAAAAATCATCTGGAGTTTGTCACATTCACATTTGTTTCCACTTTGTGACTGTAAAATACACTACATAGAATATCAAATTGAGCATCTATAAAGAATGTGTTCCTCATGTGTGTGCATGACTTTACCTGAATGAGCTCTGATTCTACTTCAGCAGTAAAGAGTGATCATGAAAACTACCACAACAACATTTAAAGGGTCCGTTTAAATATACTAATCATTTCAAACAAACAAATATGTAATTAAAACTGACAAATCATATTAGGCGTACATTTGTGATGTAAACTGGGTGGATTGTGGAGATTGTAGAAGAAGACTGTTAAATAGGGAGTATTGACTGTTAGCTCATATTTAAATAACTGTGTTACCTTTTATTGTTTTGAAAACACTATATTCGCTGAAAACAATGCATTAACATGTGTAATAAGTTTCCTTTTGTTATTGTCACTCTCAGTCCCCCCCCCTCCCCCTCTTCGCTTTAAGTGACTCCCCCTTCAGAGCGCTATTACACAATCAGTGTGCATCCTGCTAATGAAACTTCTGCATATTACATCAGGTTTGTCAAGTTGCTGTGTATCATGTTTTTGTATATTTGGAGAATTGTGTGGGAGCATGGGTGACATAGGCTTGTGGGCGGAGCCTTGTACAGATATACCGCTATCCGTAAAGGCTCAGGGCAGGAGAGATCTAGACCTAGTTACGCAAACATGCATAGATGACATCTAAAACCTTTTCAGGCCTGATTTTGATGAGGGAGCAACGTTTTAAAATGCCGTGGAGAAAGCTAAAAACAAGTGTCGCATAGTTATGGGTTCTGCAGTTTTACGTCAGTATGTGAAATTGGGCGCATGCTCATCATTATGCGTCGCTTTACGGCAGCCCGCCATTTTGCTCCGGCGCACACATCGTGCAGCGCACACATCCTGCACACTCCTGCTCGGCCCGCACATGCTAACGCCCCGCACATGCTAACGTCCCGGCCGCTTTTGTCTGCAGTCTGGACACTGTTTAAGTGAGGGGGAACCACCGGGAGCTCCGCGGACATCTGAGCCTCAGCCGCTCCTCAGTCTGATGGTGTGACTTGGAGGAGCTCAGGTAAGAGCCGAACCCCGCGGCTCTTGTGGGCGCTCTGTTTTAGCATCAGGCTAACGCTAATCCCGGGGGTTTCTACGAGAGCGACAGAGGCGGTTTGTCTGCTCTGTTTGGCCGCCTCTGCTCCAGCCGTATGCTGACATCGTTTTGCTCTTAGTGTTGTGTTGGAGCGCTGTCTTGGGACTGGGAGTACTGGCTTAATGCGAGCGCCCGCCTGGGTCTTTGTGTGCGCCTCGGCCCGTCCCGTGGCACAGGCGCGGGGCCAGTGTTTTGGTGGAGGCCGCAGTGGGGCACAGTTCACTGGGCTGGTTAAATGTTTCTGCCCACTAAGCCGCGCTCTGAAATAAGTTGTTTCAAAGGGACAGAGTGTCGTGCCGGAGTGTGGACACGGTTCCGTTTTCCGCCGTACACTGTTTCATGTTTTGCAGCGATAGGGATGTGAATGTGCGTGTCGACATACAGGAAGGCCACTGGAGTAAGCTTCGCTGTAATAGTATCCCAATGTTTTTCCAGGTAAAAGATGACGCAGTTTTTGCCTCCAAACCTGCTGGCGCTGTTTGCGCCACGAGACCCTATTCCCTTTCTGCCTCAGCTGGAGAAGCTGCCCCATGAGAAGCATCACAACCAGCCATACTGCGGGATCGCCCCGTTCATCAGGCACTTCGAGGTGGGCACCATACATCTCCCACACGCACTGCTCTGAGGTTTGATGTCCATGTCTCATTATGTTCTTCCTTCTCCAGGACCCCAGAGATGCTCCTCCACCAACCAGAGCAGAGACCAGGGAGGAGCGCCTTGAGAGGAAGGTGAGAAGCAGAGTCTGGACCTGTCTATGTGTAGAAGTTTGAATACAACACCTCTTCTGTATAGCAGATGTTGACGCAGACACTTCACCTTTATTCAGGCTTACAACCATGATTTTTGTCGAACACCAATAGTTTGGACATGGACAGTCTAAGATAATACAAATTAGATGGACAAAAAACTCAAAGCTAGGCTGCCACAAAACCGAAGGATCAAAGATTATGTGTTGACCAGCTAATGTTGCATTTAGACCTGTGGTAAAAGGTCACATTGATATATTTGTCAGTCTGCCCCAGGGCAACTGTGACTACAGAAGTTACCAGTATGGAGTGCATGAATAATGCACTGAATTGTTAAGTGACTAAAAGTGCTATATAAGACCAAAGCATAATTACTATTCTTTGGCATATTCTCTTCCCTGTGAGTGTGTTGTAGTCCATGTTCTGGTGTATTGGTTGCTGTTTTGAGTTTCTGTTGCTGGAGGTACACCTGTGCAACCTGCATCTTTCTAAATGCTGCTCATTTAGAAGACTGTTCTGGTCCTAACACAAGTCACAATCGACATTTGTTTTGTTCTCAGAGGAGAGAGAAGATCGAGCGCAGGCAGACGGTGCTGGAGTCAGAGCTCAAACTCTGTGAGTACTTTTTGTGTAACTGGGAGTGTCTGTGTGAGTGCACACTGCGTGTACATGTGTCTGTGTGAGTGCACACTGCGTGTACATGTGTCTGTGTGAGTGCACACTGCGTGCACATGTGTCTGTGTGAGTGCACACTGCGTGCACATGTGTGTGTGCACACTGTGCACATGTGTCTGTGTGAGTGCACACTGCGTGCACATGTGTCTGTGTGAGTGCACACTGCGTGCACATGTGTCTGTGTGAGGGCACACTGCGTGCACATGTGTCTGTGTGAGGGCACACTGCGTGCACATGTGTCTGTGTGAGGGCACACTGCGTGTACTTGTCTTACTGTCTGCTGTTGATCTAATGCAGGGGACCCCCACAATGACCCAAATGCCCAGGGCGATGCCTTTAAGACCCTGTTTGTGGCCCGAGTGGTGAGTACTGCATCTTAGTGCCACATGTCTGAAAGCACAAGCAGGTTTCTTACTGTGTGTGTCCTCCTCAGAACTATGATACCACAGAGTCTAAACTACGACGAGAGTTTGAAGTCTACGGCCCCATCAAAAGGGTAGGTTTGGACCCCTCTGCTGTTCCGGGCTTGCCTAATTCATCAGCTGGTTTCACTTCATGGAAACCCTCTGACTTTGCAGCATTAGGATTTGTTCGCTAGACAGTAGGCAGGTAGTTTTTTTATTTAACCAATCACTGCTATTTGGTCATGACATATGTAATGCGCCAAATCCCATAGGAAGAAGGGCAATACAATTTACCGAACATTCTTTGTTTTGGCTTTAAATCCTCGATCTGAGGAATCGTTGCCAACACAGAATATCTGTCTTCGTCTACATCCATCTCGACACTTTGTTTCCTGTTGTGCTGTACCACAAAAGGGACCCAGACAAGCGCGACGAGTTTGACGTCATGACTTCACAGCTCTTCGCTGATTTGCCAGTGCACGGTCTACAACTTCTGGGATTCTTGCAAACCGTCTAGTGTTTACTGACCTAGTCGCTGGAGAGAAATGAGAGTGGAGGCACTAGGTGATGCCAGCCTGGCTAGTTCAGGGCTGCAGAGAGGAGTATTCCATTTACATAGTGTTGACTAGATGATGATATTAGGGGTGGGACAGGACATAATATAGGGTTCACGATGTTGAGACAAGATTTTAAAAACATTTACAATAATTTATATAATAACAATAAATTAATCAATTCACAATTTTGGTCACATGGTTTTAAATTGGTTAAATTTATTTTTTTAAAATATTGCCTAAACACCCTTTATGGTTTAAACATCAGTTCTGCAGTGAAATCCTCACATGCCTTCTTACAAATATACTCTATATACAATATGTCTGTGACACACAATTTTTATTATTTTAATGATTAGACTAAACTTGGATCTGCTCCTCTGTCCCCCCCCCCAAACACGCACTCACGGTGCAGAGAGACGCAGGCAGAGGAGGAGCACATCTCTCTCCTTTCTGACTTTAAACTAAGTTTAGGATGAAGAAGACCTAAATATCTTTCTGAGGATAATTTCCAAACAATATTTAAGCATGGGAATCACGTAATGTTCCGCGTTGTCTGTGGGTGAAGTAGATGCACGTATATTTAATTTGTTTTTCGCAATCTTTTTGTACAATCATTAGTACTGATTATTTGTATCACTACTGGTTCTATCACTTTGAAATTAATTAATATGTGAGTTGCAAGTCTGTGTGAAGTAGTCTGTCAGCTACAGCTGCTCAAAGATGTGACGCACAAACCTTTCATGCCAATGCCAAATGTAAAGACGGCTGATCAAATCTTGCGAGATTGTTTTTCCCTTGTGAGCACAGTCCCGTGGCAATTTGATCCCATCCCTAATGAATATTCTTATCAAAGTATTAGAACTGCACCATGTACCTCTGGTTTAAGTGGATTTTATGAGTGAGAAACATGAGACAAATGCAGATCAGTGCAGCAGCATAAACAATAGTGTGTGTGTGTCTGTTCAGATCTACATAGTGTACAACAAAAGGACGGGGAAGCCTCGCGGGTACGCCTTCATCGAGTACGAGCACGAGCGGGACATGCACTGTGAGTACCCCACTGACCCCCCCCTCCTCCTCCCGTCCCCATCAGGCTCTGTGTGCACATGAGGCAGTGTGCACAGTGCAGGCCTGGCTGTGTGCTGGGGCCTGGGCTACGGCTGTCACCACACTTAAATCTACAACTGGATGCTACTGAAATGAGTGGCGAGTATCTAGACTACTCTTTAGTATCAAAATGGTTATAATAAAAACAAAACTTTATAATACTGACACACTCAACACAAACGCACACTATGGTTTTAACCTAGTTCTGCCAAAGAGATCAAAACTCTTCAGGAAAGGTCAAAATGTGTCCAGTTAATGTGATGGTGACCTGTTCTCAGGACCACTACCTGTTTAAATGAGTATGGTAGTTTCAATGTTAGTTTTAGTGTAGATTAGTATTTTAATTTGGATCACTCCAGCCTAAGCCTTGGGTGTGTTGAGGCCCATGCACAGCTCAGGCCTGGCTGTGTGCTGTAGGCGTGTGCATGTGTTCTTCTGTGCTGTGCTGTTGTGTGGTCCTGAGGGGTAGGCTGTGTCTGAGCTGTTACCTCTGTCACAGGAGCTATTATAAGTGTCAGACGTGTGAGCTCTGAGGCCAGAGCTCAGCTGTGGAGGCGCATGGTAAGCACAAGGTGGCGCTGAACAGGGTACTTGACTGTGTCCGTAGTACTGGGTGTGGTAGTGCACAGGTTCTCAGGCCTGCTCGCAGTGTCCTCCCCACCCCTGCGCTGGAGCACTGAGGAGCAGGCCTGTAGGAGCTGTGCCTGGACAGGGGCAGGAGAGGGAGGGGGAGCGCGGGCCTCTGGAGTGTATTAACTCTCTGTTGTTCTCATTGCCACTGCAGCCGCCAATCTGTGATGGCTATTGGCCAGAGCTGGCTGGCAGATGATGATGCTTAAGATACATCTACTCTACTACCACAGCTCAGTTATGGTTGGTATAAAGGGTTTGTATGATGGGTAAGATTTCTTTCCACCCTCATATACTACTTAGAGCTGGAGGGGGACACGCTGGTCCCCGTGCACTGGAATGTAAGCATTGAGTGCACACACACATACGAGCTCAGGCCAGAGTACATGCACACACTAGAGCAGGGGCCACACACACAACTGTCACCACACACGGCAGCCTCATCTCATCACTGTGCACTTGTAAGTCTACTAGTCTTCCATTGGCTACTGCAAGACTAGCTAGGACCTCCCCCACATTCAAATCCAATTCCACATCTAAAACACACAAATGCAAGTAGGTAAACACTTGTTAGTGTCGGCCAGTGTAAGTGCAGCAGCAGCAGTAGCAGCAGCAGTGCACACGTCCACTTAGAGCAGCGTGAGCCTGGGTGTGTCCAGGACAGTCAGCTCCACTCTAGTGCCTTGTACAGCTGTTGAACTGTGGGTGTGGTAAGGCCCTTCTGCTTTGGCCTGGTCCTGTAGAGGCCCTGCGGTTTGGAGGGTACCGGGTAAGGCCCTCTGTGTGGAAGAGGGGCATGTATATGGCGCCATCAGGAGGTTTTGAGGGGTTCAGCAGGTTTAAACCAGGGCAGGCTTTAGACACAGGTTAATTTCAGTCTAATGCATGTTGTACAACATATAAATGGAATACATTAGACTTAATGGAATAGACTATTTGGCCAGTGCCATTTTGAAAAGCATTAGTTTTTCAGGTGTCCTTGTAGGCCCTGCTCATCAGGAGCGGCCTCTATCCAGTAGTAGTGGAGCACTGGGCTCTTAGGACAGACTTGGTGGTTGTTCCTGGCTGTTGGCTAGTTCGTGGTAAGCCTGGGTAAAAGTGTAAAAAGTTTTGCGCTCTCGTCTGGTGGAAGGAGGTCCTCTCCATAGTGCCTCGGCTTTTGCCCAGCGAGCGGCCCTCTGCTGGTCAGTATACAGAAGCACTGATTCCTTGGCCACATAGAGCTGTTGTTTAGACTGTGGCTCACCTGTGTGTCTGTGTCGCTCCACAGCTGCCTACAAACATGCCGACGGGAAGAAGATCGACGGGCGCAGGGTGCTGGTGGACGTGGAACGTGGACGCACCGTCAAGGGCTGGAGGCCGCGCAGGCTAGGTGAGGCTAACCTACTGTACAGAACTGCATAGGCTAGATGAAGCTAAACTACTGCAGAAAGGCTCCTGTAGCTTGCATATGTTTGATTCTTTGTCCATGCCATCAAAGATGTTCATATGGGTTGGTTCATTGTGTTTGTCTTTGACCTGTACAGGAGGAGGTCTGGGCGGCACCAGGAGAGGAGGAGCAGACGTCAACATTAAGCACTCGGGCAGAGATGACTCTTCACGCTACGACGAGCGGCCACTGGGCGGGTGAGCCTCTCAATTACATTCCTACATACATGCGTTTGTGCATACACACGTACATATGTACATGTGTACAGTGTGTCTGCTCTGGTGGAATGACTGATGATGTGTTTCTTATCCTCAGTGAACGTGACAGAGGCGAGCGGCGAGAGCGCACCAGTCGTGACCGTGACAGGGAGCGGCGCCGCTCGCGCTCTCGAGAGCGCCGCAGACGCACTCGCTCCAGAGAGAGAGAGAGGGCTGCCGGAGAAGACGCAGGCAGCAGGCGTAGAGACAGGGACAGAGAGGCTCGGGGCGACAGGAGCCGAGAGAGGAGTCGTGACAGGGAGCGCAAACGCAGGAGCCGCAGCAGGGACCGCAAGAGGGACCGCGACCGTACCAAAGGCCCCGACGGAGAAGACGTCCAGCCCGGAGAAGGGGCACCGGAGGGAGTGGAGAGAGGGCCTGATGAGCAGCCAGAAGGAGAGCCCGGTGCCGAAGGGGACGAACAGCGAAGAGACAAAGAGCGGGACAAGGAGCGCAGACGCAGTCATAGAGACAGGGACCGCAGACGAGACAGGGACAGAGAGCACAAACGAGACAGGGACAGAGACAGGGAGCGCAGGGATGACAGGCACACAGAACCCCAGGACCAGGCCCCCGAGGAGGACAATGGCCCCTCACTGAAGACAGATGAGTACTCCCAGGACGAGGGCATGGAGCAGCCCACTGAGGGGCCCGATGACTATGGCAACGGGGAGAACGGATACAAGATGGAGGGGGGTGCTGACGAGTACTGAGCTCTAAACTCTGTGGACTCATTGGACTGTAGTGAAGTGTTTCAGATCAAACCATCAAAGCGCTCTCATAATGCCTTTTTTAAATGACTCAAATAATTGCATTAGGACAAGGGGCCCAAAAGGGAGCTAGTTTTTAATTTAGATTTTTCCAGAAGTGTGGTTTAAGTCTTAGTTGATTGAATCGGTCTTGTGCTCTGCATGCCAGACCCATGTTCTGTTGGGGCTTCTTCTTCTTTCACAGCTTTGTTCTTCAGAGAACAGCCAAGTGCACTCGGCTCGCTCTGTCCCAGTGTGAGCAACAGTCATGCTAATGTACCGTCTCAAACTGTAAATGATCTGCTGAATTTGGCTCTTTGAGGGGCTCTTGTTCATTCTGAATTAAACTTTTTAATTAAAAGCCCATTGTCTTTTGTGTTTTTTCTCCTGTTGCATTCACATGTGCACACACAGATTGAGTTTGTGTGTAGGGTTGGTTATTTGAGTGTGTCCATGGAACAATTAAAGGGGAACTGGATCAGAGACACTGGTAGAACATCAGCTGATGGTGCATGTTGGTCCTCAAGCATCTGTGGAGGAATCTTCCTTTGAAACAGGTATCATAAAATGACCACACTGCATATTCAGTTGTTGGAAATGTAGTCTAATGTCCGTGCGTCTTTTCTCTGAAATCTGCTCGTGTTGTTAAAACCTTAACATTAAAATATGACTGATCCAGCGCAGTGAGGACGCTGGCCCTTTAAACGCCTCTATTATCCACAGACGTAGCGCTGGGGCCGTGGACTGCTGTCGGTGCAGTCCTCGGTGGTTCTCCCCGCAGCTCGGGAGCGCAGCGCCGTGTGGGCTTGTCATTTTGGAGCTGGCGCATCACTGAGCATGGACGCGCTCTGAACAACCGCTCGCCCACCTCATCCACGCAGCGTGATTCCGGGCTTTTACGCACTCGACCAGGGGCTCACCATGATGTCGTCCTACTACCACACCGGCAAGGAGGCTGATATGGCAGCCATGACAGAGCCGCTGTGTCTGGAGAGAGGTAGGTCCCCCGCGGCCCCACATCTGTGCGCATCTGTTTGGTGACCACAAGTCCAGTGACCGGAGGCCCAGTGCTGTAGCCTACGTGTGTGAATCAGCGCGACTACCCGCAGGAATAGGGTTTGTGGGGGTAGGACGCATAAAATACCACATCTGTGATGAGATGGACTGATCTGTATCGCTCCCTTTGACATCTTCTGTCGATTATTCGCTCATCTTTGTGGACAAAGCCTCTCCTTTGGTCCCGTGCGCGCTGACGCTCCGGGTCTGACTATAATAAAGAACAGGCTACATTTTCCCCACAGGCTCTACGGGGTCATTCCTGACTGCTCTGACGCATCACGTGCCGTGCGCAGCGGCATCCCTGCGCTCGGACCTCGGGCCGGTGTAAACAGTGACTTTTAACGTGCGTTCTTCCTCAATAAACCTTTCAATGAAAACTGATCTTTTTGGAACCCTGTGGGGGCGCAGTGTGTCCACAGAGTGCCCATCACTGCTCCATCATTTTCAGATTTTGAATGGAGTGACGTCCAAAATGTGATAATAACAAGAGGCTACGTTTCACTTGACACGTTAAAGAAAGTGTGTCCGTGCCACAGCAGGTGTGGAGTCAGGCTGCAAAACCTCCACAAGTCCAAGTCCAAGGTCACAGACAGACACATGGATCATGTCTCCCACAAAGGAGACCGTGGTCCTGGTCAGATGTGTGGTCACTGACTCCCTCTGTGTGTGTGATCAGGTGTGTGTGTGTGATCAGGTGGTGTGTGTGTGATCAGGTGTGTGTGTGTGATCAGGTGGTGTGTGTGTGATCAGGTGGTGTGTGATCAGGTGGTGTGTGTGTGATCAGGTGTGTGTGTGATCAGGTGTGTGTGTGTGATCAGGTGGTGTGTGTGTGATCAGGTGTGTGTGTGTGATCAGGTGGTGTGTGTGTGGGGGGGTGTGATCAGGCGTGTGTATGTGATCAGGTGTGTTTGTGATCAAGCGTGTGTGTGTGGGGGGGTGATCAGGTGTGTGTGTGTGCGTGCGCGCGCGTGTGTGTGTGTGTAGTGTACGTATGGTGGTCAGATGTGTGTGTGATCTGATATGTGTACGGTCAGTGACTGTGTGTGTGCTGGTCAGATGTGTGCAGGGTGGTGGAGCTCCTCGACCGGTTACAGAGGAGTGGGGAGCTGCCTCCACCCAAACTCCAGGCTCTTCAGAGGGTCCTCCAGAGCAAGTTCTGCGCCGCCATCAGAGAGGTGCTCCACCCACTCTACTCCTCTGACCCATGTCCCAGAACATGACCACTCCCTCCTCCTCCACCACTCCCTCCTCCACCTCCATCTCTCCTCCTCCACCTCCACTCCTCTCCTCCATCCACCATCTCTCCCTCCTCCTCCACCTCCTCCTCCTCCACTCCCTCTCCTCCTCCACCTCCACTCCCTCCTCCTCCACCACCATCTCTCCCTCCTCCACCTCCACTCCCTCATCTCCCTCCTCCACCACCTCCTTTCCCTCCTCCACCTCCACTCCCTTCTCTGCCTCCTCTCCCTCCACGGCCACCTCCTCCCTCCACCTCCACTCCCTCCTCTCCCTCCTCCACCACCTCCTCTCCCTCCTCACCTCCACTCCCTTCTCTGCCTCCACTCCCTTCTCTGCCTCCTCTCCCTCCACATCCACCTCCTCTCCCTCCTCCACCACCTCCTCTCCCTCCTCTCCCTCCTACACCACCTCCACTCCCTCCTCCAACTCCTCTCCCTCCACCTCCATCTCTGTGTCCCTGTGATGTGTGTGTGTGACTGGTCCCTGTGTGCTGCAGGTGTACGAGCAGCTCTACGACACCCTGGACATCGTGGGGGGGCCTGAGGTGCGCGCACAGGCTGTGGCCAAGGTACTCCCACACAGAGGCACACACACCCACACACACACACTTCAAATGAACAAAGTCAACGATTTTGGTCATATTTTATATTTTCCTGTGTGTATCCTGCTCTCTTCCAGTTTTAAAAAAGTGACTCCAGTCACATTTGAACCTGTGTCTCTAAAGTTTTAACCTGCAGCTAGAGGATAATCATCTTAAGTCAAAACACCAATTTGTAAAATAAACAACATGTTTCTGTAATAAAGAATAAATGAACATTACAGTCAACGCTGGATTGGATGTGAACATGTTTACCTCATATCTGGGGACGGAGAGAGGTCAAGTTTCTGTCATTTTACAACATAATCTTACACAGCGTTCCATTCAAAGCAGTTTGAAGCAGAATGAGTCTTGGGTGTTTCTTGACAGTGGACAGGTCCGTGCTCTTTATGGAGTTGGTTGTGAATGAGATTGTGCCATAGACTGTTTACAGAAAGGGACATAGCTAACCTGCTAACCGTTATGAAAACCTGTTATGAAACCTGTGCTCAGAATTTCTTCTATAGAACTGGGATCCAAATTTGCTCCTATAACTCCTGGGCCTCAATGAGCTTCATTTGACTGGAGCTGAACTCTGTGGCAGCCACTCTGCACACTCTGTTAGGTACACAGTCTGTCTTGTGCTTGACCACTGCTGTTTGACCCTGTTTGACCTTCAGGCCACAGTGGCAGCGTTCGCCGCCAGTGAAGGCCACGCCCACCCGCGCGTGGTGGAGCTGCCCAAGACGGACGAGGGGCTGGGCTTCAACATCATGGGCGGCAAAGAGCAGAACTCCCCCATCTACATCTCCAGAGTGATCCCCGGGGGAGTGGCTGACCGGCAGGGAGGGCTCAAGAGAGGAGACCAGCTGCTGTCTGTCAACGGAGTGGTGAGGCCTCCAAACTGACCGCTGTAGTGCTGATAGTCACACTTCAAACTCCATTTCAATACTGATATGAGGAACAGAATCGATACTCAACACCGATTCTGATACCTCGATGAGAATAAAAACATCTTTCTTTAGATAATAATAATAGGGTCAGCTGTTTTCAAGGAATCTCCCCTGTGGGCCATTTCAGATTTGGTTGAAAAAATGTTCTAAAAATTTCTAAAATCACCAAATGAAAGAATCTCAAATTTTAGCTCAATCCCTTGAGTTGTTCCTGAGTTATGGCCCGTTGAAATTTTATTTAATTTATAAACATGTTTGAGAGACCAGAACTTCATAAAAATAGAGCTAGGAAGCTGAAAAATTGTATTATTGTAGATTCCTGGTCATAGATTCTAAATCTGTTGTCAAATATTGTGTGTCTTTATTAAGGGGGCTGTGGGCCCCAAAATGTCACATTTGGTTGCCGCTCAGTTTTTTTTAATTTTTATTTTTTTTGAGGTCCATGATTTATTTACTCCAAGTAGATATTTACAAACTAACTGTTGAACCTGAATATTTGAGAGAATGACCATTTCTGACAACAGTCTCACACTTTTCTGAGTTTTCATGTGGATGGTGTAGAGTCTCAAATCTGGTCACAGACCAAATGTGATCTTTTTGGCCCCTTCTCTGGACCCTTGGTTCCCCATGTGGCACCGTTAGATGTTGATCAAATTTTTACCAGAGAAACTTTGGCATATTCAGATTAGTTTAAAGTAATAAAAACATTTACTCTTAACTTCCTTCATTTCAAATAGAATTTTTGAATATGATCTGTCATGGGTCATTTTTGGTGGAGTTTAGGCACTTTTCCACCTGCAGAAAGGTTCATTTATCTTTAATAGACTTAAACACTAATTGCTTGATATTATTGCTTGTTGAGCTATTCTTTTATTTGGTAATTTTAGAAATTTTTTTCAGCCAATTCTGAGATGGCTCATAGGGGAGGCGGCTGATTTCATACGGACTGACCCAATAGCTAATTGTTATTTCTCTTCCCATGTGTGTTATATGTGTGTAATCCTCGGAGGTGTGGAATTTTTCTAGCACAGTGTCTGTCACCTGCTTGTCTCCAAGGAGATTTTAAACTGGAGGCAAGCAAATGATGCCTCCAGACAAAGTTACAGGTTAGATCTGTGGAAAATCAAGCCCACTCCCAATAAAAATGCTGTTTTTCCAAGACATTCAAACACGTCTGAAGACATTTATGCATCTAGAATTCAATGGCAGTTTGGTGACAGACCTGTCTCTCATTTTGGTTGAACTAAAAGCACTTCAGCGGTCTCATTTATAAACTGTAAAGAGCTATAAAATGGACTAAAATCACAAAATGAAATATGAGTTAAAAGAGGTTAAGGATCATGTGATGTGTGTGTGTGTGTTGCAGAGCGTGGAGGGCGAGCACCATGAGAAGGCGGTGGAGCTGTTGAAGGCGGCTCAGGGCACAGTGAAGTTGGTGGTGCGCTACACGCCGCGTGTCCTCGAGGAGATGGAGGCGCGTTTCGAGAAGATGAGGAGCGCCCGCAGACGACAGCACACCGCCAGCTACTCGTGAGTGACATCACAGTGCTGGTAGATAACTAGAGTTTAGTGTGCTCTTTTACAAAATGGTTGCACATGTGAATGAAATAAAAACACATGTGCATGACGCTTTATTCTGGCATTTAGAAAAACACCATTGTATATCATTTAAGGAAACAAGCACTTCTCCAGGTATGCTTAGGTTCAAATCACTTCATAATTTAGCTTCATCCCTGAAACCTGCTTAAAGGACTGCGCTCTGAAAAAAAAAAGATGACTATAATTACAACTGACTCTGTGTGTCTAGAGCCTTAATCTGCAGATAGAGGCACATCCAAGTGTGTCTCAGTCTGCGTTTACACACAGCCGGGAATGTTGAGAAACTAATATTTCCCTTCGTCCATTTCCAAAATAACATTGTGCACACAGCATTGTTTTCCATTACATGAACTCTCATAAATATGCCATCATAACTACACCAAGCCTCTGGACAGCACCTGGATTACATTCAGACCTGTAGCCCAGTTTTGGTGCGTCAGCTCCTAAAACTTGTTTATCTCACTTTACACCAAACGCCAAACCATAGTTTTCCAGAATCTCCACTTTAGCCGGAGTTTTTAGAAAGATTCATTTTCAGAGGTGAATTTGCTGTTTGCATGTAAAAGACGGGAACAAATGGAGGGAAATGTCTCCGTCTTTAAAAATACCTGTGTACGTGTAAACGGGGCCTCAGTCTCAGTATTTGGACAGACCAGGCCTCATGTGAAAGCACAGAACCTCCACAATTCCCTCCTTAAGCTGCAGAGGCTGCACTAGCACTGACTCATGACAGGTGCAAGGGTTTAGGTAGTGACTTTTCAGATCAGACAGAGACATTTTAAGTTTAAACACACTGGATTTCAGCTTTGAAACTGGCAACTCAAATGAGGGATTCATTTGAGGCTCATTCTGCTTTCTGATTGGATATTTGTCTTGAACTGAAACAAAATTCTAACTGGTCCATCATGTCCAAAGTTTAAAATCCAAAGAATCCAAAGTATAAATCAGCATTACAATTACCAATAAAAGCTAAATCTGATCAGAACATGTTTACCTCATGTTAGGGGTCACAGATAGGTCATGATTGTGGAATTTAAAATGAGTCACAGTGGCTCTCCTCCCACAGGTCGCTGGAGTCCAGAGGTTAGCTGCCTGCCCTCTCCAGAGCTCCGCCCCTCTTCAGCCTGATGGACGCCTGAGCCCCGCCCCTCCCCGAAGACAGCCCCGCCTTTCTGTAGCCCGCCGCTCGGCTCTGAAGCGGCGCAGTGTGCCAAAATCACTCGCTCAGAAATAGCTGGAGGCACCTAGTTTAGGTATAGCATTTATGTATAGGCCCATATTACTGCCACTTATTTATCCCATATAGCCCCAAGAATAAACGTGTGTGTCCAGTATGTGTGTGTGTGTGTGTGTGTGTGTGCACGTCTCTGATCTAATGCCAAAAATATGAAGTTAATTTTAAATGTTTTTTTCAATGCCCAAATCTAGATCAAATATCCAAAAATAAAAATATGTAAAAAGTAATGATACACGTTACACAAGTTTGATAAATATGAACGTTATATTCACTTGAAAAGTACCACTTCATGACATCACAAGGTGAAACAGAGCATTTTGAGCTTTGGAAATGTAGACAGACTATAATAGTTATTCAAACTAAACACGAGTCCAGGTGTGTTTTTGAGGAGGTAACAGCATTAGAACATGACTTAAAGGTTGTATGGAGGATTTTTATTATTTTTTTTGTTTCAAATTGTCAATGAAAGTTTAAAATACCATTACAGAGATGCAGCAGCCTTGAAATTATCATGAGCAAAAAAAACCAAAAAAATAAAAATCTATCAACTGTGGACGTAGTGACGCCAGATAAACATCAGCCAATAGATAATGAGGCTCCCTCATTTTCTACTGGCTGTTAGGTTGTCAATCAAACTTCCTACGTTTCTAGTGTCACTGACTCGCCAGCGCGCGAGGATTACGTGGTTTATGCAGCGGTTCTTAGAGGCTTTTTCAAACTGTCGCTTCCTTGCAATTCGCACAAAGTTTGTTGCGATGGCGGACGAGAATCCACGACCAGTTCGCTGCTAAAGAAAGTCAATTTTTGAGGTCGCTGAAAGAAGAAGAGAAGGGGAAAAGGAGCGAAGCCAAACTGAGGTGATTCTTGGACATTCCTTCCAGCGGCGGTGTGACTGAAGCAGACGAAGGGTCTAAACACTGACGCGTCGGTCACTAAAATATTATTATCTAGAGTAAAGAGGCGGGAGGAGTGTTTCTACTGAGGGAGCTGTGGAGGAGGGAGGTGGTGTCACACATGCACAACATTTGAAAAAGGACTGTCGCTGTATTTCACTTCCCTTAAAAAATCCTCTATACAACCTTTAAATTTCACAAGAGTCAGTTTGTAGAGTTTTTTGTATTATAGGACCTTTAAATGGATGACTCCTGACTCAGTGAAACCAGTCTCTGTACTTTGTTTCTCACAAGCGTGAAAACTCTTCTGGACGTCGCAGCAGGGCCCTGCTGACCTCTGAGAGCGAGCGGCAGCCTGTAACACACACAGCTTCAGAGCAGAGCAGCACAGAAGGGCAAGTGTGGATCATAACCACAGACTGGTTTAAGAATATGCAGTGAGGCGGTAAACGTAAACACGTGTTCTAATACTGAACAAATCTCTACACCGCTGATAAAGTCACTTTTATAAATGCTTTTCAATGGAAAAAAGTACGTTTAAAAACAAAAAGACAAACCTGCCAGGGCCAGAGCCAACCGCAGCTCCTCTTTCAGAAGAGTCAAGACCTCAGTGACGCCCTCCTCCCCCTGCACACACACACACACACACACACACGCACGCACACGCACGCACACGCACGCGCACGCGCGCACACACACGCACACACACACACAGACACACACACACACGCACACACACACACACACACACACACACACACACACACACACACAGACACACACACACAGCACACACCAGACACACACACACACACCACACACACACACACGCACACACACAGGAATTTTTAATGGGGATTTATGATAATTGCAATTAATAAACTCCTGCAGGTGTTGGCCTTTAGTAGTTGACAGAATTCAGTTTAAGTGACTATGATCATGTAGATCAGATCTCGTTCATTTGTGCCTTTTCCTGTTGGATAAAAATACCACGTGGACTGTACGGGCTCCTGTCCCAGTGAGGGCACCGTGTGAATCTCATATGAACATGGAGTGTGGAGCATCACCTGACAGGCCAAGCCCCAGAGCACCGGGCGTCCCACGAACACAGCTTTGGCCCCCAGAGCGAGGGCCTTCAGGACATCTGTGCCCCTCCGGACCCCTCCGTCCAGGAAGACGTCACAGCGGCCCCCCACCGCACGCACCACCTCAGACAGGACGTCCAGCTGGAGCAGAGGGAGAACAAGCATCATGGAGCACCTGTTCATACTGTAAGAGTATCTGATCATCGAGTGTAAAACAGGAATAATTAGAGCAGAGTATTTACTTGTGTGTGCTTTTTAATTTGCTCTTGAATGGATCATCAAACTTACAAAATCACAATTAATGTATTTAAAAACTGGAACTAAAAAAGGAGCTATCAAGAAAGATTCAACCAAGATGAAAAATAGGTCTGTACTAACACTAAATGAGCAGCACTACAGTCTCCTGGAAACCTCTCAAAGCTCTACGCTCAAGTCATTATTCATCAAGTTTAACGTCACTTTATTATCTCCATAAATTTGTCCTCTGCATTTGACCCATCGTTCAAGCACTCCACACAGACTGAGGCTACCAATCTCCAACCACCAGCACTCACACCATATTCAGGGATATGAAAGTGTCTTGCCAAAGGACACATCAACAGAACCTGGTCTGCACAGGAATAAATGGTCAATCAGATTTTATGGTTGAAATATTTCTCAGTATTTGACTATAGTAACCACTAATTTGACACTTTTTACAAACATTTACAGTCCCTGATAAAAGTCTTGTCGCTTATCCATTTTGTAGAAACAAAAGCTTATAATCTGACTTTAAATTAATCGATTGGTTTTAGAAATGTCTCATATAAAAGCTAAAACCCTCCCAAATTATCTGCTGCAGTGGAAAAGGGGCCTTGGATTTTCAAATCAACAAACGGTCCTCCCGAGCAGTTGTCTTGTGGGGTCTGCTGGACCTGGGCTTGTCAAAAACATCTCCAGTCATTTCAGATCTTTTTCTTATTCTTTGTACTTGACGCTGAGACACATTGAAGGTGTCACCACCTCAGCAGTGGATCTGGTCTTCAGCCTCTTGATAATTAAGGCTTTGGTCTCAGGGTGGATCTTAGGCATGTTGTCAGAGGTCAAGTTGCAGTTGATGTGAAGGTCTGGTGTGCTGGGGTTCTTTTTATACACAAACACTAACTGATTGATCAGTAACTGATCACAGGTGAGGCTGTAATCTAGGATTGGGTGCATCATATGACAAGGCCACAAGACTTTTGTCTTGCCAAAATCTGACCTTTCTGTGTTCATTAAATGATCAATCTTTCTTCAGTGAAGCAAATTTATTTTAGTATATTGAGCATAATTTGGGAGGGTTTTAGCTTCATATGAGACATTTCTAAAACCAATCAATTCATTTAAAGTCAGGTTATAAGCTTTTGTTTCTACAAAATGGATAAGCGACAAGACTTTTGTCAGGGACTGTAGTAATTATTGGAAGTACCTGTACCTGAGTTGTCACCGGTTCTGTTCATTGTATTTATGGACAGAATTTCTAGGCGCAGTCAGGGGTCGGAGGGGGTCCGGTTTGGGGACCACAGGATTTCATCTCTGCTGTTTGCAGACGATGTTGTCCTGTTGGCTTCATCAAACCAGGACCTGCAATGTGCACTGGGGCGGTTTGCAGCCGAGTGTGAAGCGGCCGGGATGAAGATCAGCTCTTCTAAGTTTGAGGCCATGGTTCTTGACCGGAAAAAGGTGGCTTGTCGTCTCCGGGTGGGTGGGGAGTCTTTGCCTCAAGTGGAGGAGTTCAAGTATCTCGGGGTCTTGTTCACGAGTGAGGGGAAGGACGGAACGTGAGATTGACAGGTGGATCGGTGCAGCTTCGGCAGTGATGCGGTCGCTGTATCGGACCGTTGTGGTGAAGAGGGAGCTGAGTCGAAAGGCGAAGCTCTCGATTTACCGGTCAGTCTTCGTTCCTACTCTCACCTATGGTCATGAGCTCTGGGTAGTGACCGAAAGGACGAGATCGCGGATACAAGCGCTCGAAATGAGTTTCCTTCCGCAGGGTGGCTGGGCGCTCCCTTAGAGATAGGGTGAGGAGCTCAGTCACACGGGAGGAGCTCGGAGTAGAGCCGCTGCTCCTCCACGTCGAGAGGAGCCAGTTGAGGTGGCTCGGGCATCTGTTCCGGATGCCTCCTGGGCGCCTCCCTCGGGAGGTGTTCTGGGCATGTCCCACTGGGAGGAGGCCCCGGGGAAGACCCAGGACATGCTGGAGGGACTATGTGTCTCTCGCCTGGCCTGGGAACACCTCGGGGTCCCCCCGGAGGAACTGGAGGACGTGTCTGGGGTGAAGGAAGTCTGGGAGTCCCTGCTTAGGCTGCTGCCCCTGCGACCCTGGCCCCGGATAAGCGGACGAAAATGGATGGATGGATGGATGTACCTGAGTAACATTTTAAAGTACTACTGACACTTTTTCTTGATCCCCCCGCCCCTGTAGTGACCCAGAGGACAGTTGTGTCTCCAGACTGACCGTAGCAGGCACCCCGTCCAACTGCCGTGCTCCGTGGTTGGACACCAGGATCCCGTCCACTCCACAGTCCACAGCCTGGCGAGCGTCCTCCGCTTAGACACACAGACACACACACAGACACACACACACACACACACACACACACACACACACACACTACACACACACAGTTAAAACTCATCCTCCAGAAAGACATATTGAAAAAAGAACTCAGTCTAAATGTGCAGGGTTTGTGTGCTAAGCTTTTGTGAATGGATCAAAACACAACTCCAGGTCTTTAACTTCTTAGGTTCTTTTTAAAGACAGAACAGTAAAGTGTATTTCCCTTGTTGACATGTTTCGGCTGCTCGCTGCAAGTCATCTTCAGAACAACACTGTGACAGTTCTGAAGATGACTTGCAGCGAGCAGCCGAAACATGTCAACAAGGGAAATACACTTTACTGTTCTGTCTTTAAAAAGAACCTAAGAAGTTAAAGTACATAAGAAGACAAAAACGAACACCTTTGGCTTAATAACTCCAGGTCTGTTTGTGATGAGGAAACGACACTGACACATGAGTTCATATTATTATGTATAAAACTGAAAAGATGAGTCTGCAGTCTAATGGACAACAGAATGACCAGAAATACTCTCAAAGAAATACTCTCCATGTAAATGTTTTTTAAAAACTAAATCTTTTTATGGCCATACAGGCAGTGTTGGGGAGTAATAGATTACATGTACCGGAGTTACGTAATCAGAGTACAAATTATGAGTAACTGTATTCGGTTACAGTTACTGTTTCAGTGAGTGGTAATTGGATTACAGTTACTTTGTTGAAATAAATGGATTACACAGAGGTATTTTCCTGTTTTCACATTTTGGGCTAAACCCTTTCTTTTTTTTTTTTTGGTAATTCCACTCATTGCCGGAAAATAAACCAGGTCCAAACTAGATCCTAACCAGGTCTAAACCAGGTCTAAACCAGGTCTAAACCAGGACTAAAACCAGGTCTAAAACCAGGTCTAAACCAGGAGTAAAACCAGGTCTAAACTAGACCTAAACTAGATCTAAACCAGGTCTAAAACAGGTCTAAAACTAGGTTTTAACCAGGACTAAACCAGGACTAAAACCAGGTCTAGACTAGATCTAACCTAGATCTAAACCAAGTCTAAAACAAGGTCTAAAACCAGGACCAAACCTGGACTAAACCCATACTAAACCAGGACTAATCCAGGGCTAAACTAGGGCTAAACCAGGTGTAAACCAGGTCTAAACCCGGACTAAACCAGGACTAAACCAGGACTAAACCAGGATTTAACAGGACTAAACAGGACTAAACCGGACTAAACCCCAGGACTACTAAACCAGGACTACTAAACCTAAAGGACTAAAACACTAAACAGGACTAAAACAGGACTGGGCTTTTTATTGTCTTTTAACAAAACATCTTATGTGAACATTTCCTCGTCTTTGCTTCTCTACAGCAAATCAAGTAATCCAAAGTATTCAGATTACATTACTCACCTAAAGTAATTTAATGGATTCTGTTACAAACTACATTTTGGGATATGTAATCTGTAATCTGTAGGGGAATACATTTTAAAAGTCACCTTCCCAACACTGCATACAGGACAGGAGCTTTACAAGGACAATTAGCACAGTGTTGTATATAAACTCTCAGTCAGGCAGGTCAGGTGTGTGCTTTGTAAACAGCATGAATCTGCAAGCTTATGGTCAGAGGGCGGCTGTACAGACTGTACATACTGACCACTGAGGACCCCCTTGAGGATGACGGGTAGGTGCGTGTTCCTCTTGAGCCACAGGACGTCCTCCCAGCTCAGAGACGGGTCGATGGCTTTGGACACGTACACGGCCAGGCCACTGTCCGCTCCGTAAGTGTCCTCGGAGAAGGACAGGGAGGGGGCGGAGAAGTTGGACATGCTGCACACACAGACAGGCGGGGGAGGGGTCAGCTCAGAGTTCGGGTGGGGGTGAGGAGGGGACAGTATTGTAAAGAGTTGGTGCACCCCATGCTTTTCTTTTTGTTTTGATGTTTTTGGTCACTCTCATCATGATTCTAATTTTCTTACTTTTTCAAGATCTTCAAAGTAATGTCACAGTTTCATTATTATTTATCAGCTCCTCAATGACTTCGTGTGCTGCCACTTTGACAGTCACAGCTGCCCTGGCAGACTGGCACAAGTGTGACTGCTGCACAGGTCTACACACTCACTGACCGCTACCAGTCACAGTCACACACCTTTTCATGTACCGTGGAGTGATAGAGTCATACCTGTGGTGAGGGTGTGGTCATACCTGAGATGGGGGTGTGTTCACACCTGAGGTGGGGGTGTGGTCATAGCTGAGATGGGAGGTGTGGTCATACCTGAGATGGGGGGGCAGTTTGAAGCGGTTGCGCACGTCATCCCACCTGCGGCCCAGGTACGGAGTGTCCACTGTGAGGAAGATGGCCTGATAGCCGGCCTGCTCCGCGCGCCGCACCAGAGACAGACTGAGCTCACGGTCTTTGTAAATGTAGAGCTGCATCCACAGGACCCCCCCGGGCCCCCCTCCAGCCTCAGATACCTCCTCTATGGTGGAGGTGGCCCAGGAGCTCAGCATCATGGCTGTGCCCACCGCCCTGCACGCTGTGGGCCAACACAACAACACAACAGCAATTAACGATTTAAAAAAAAAAAATATATATATATATATATATATATATATATATATATATGTAATTGTGCTTACAAAAGAGGCACTCATTCTCACTCAGTCACAACATGACATGTCCCAAAGAACATGTGACAGGATATGATCATATGATCACCCTTTGTCAACAACTGGAAACTCTCGTCCTTCTCTCAGTGAGCTGCATGATGAAGAGATGTCAAGAGAGGAAGGCAGGAGTCAAAGCAAAAGATAAAGGCTGTTTTTTTACATGTGTCACTCATAGTTGTGATGCCTTCAGTGAGAATCTATGATGTAAATAAATATTCATGTAAATGAAGAAACATGAAAAAGTGTGTCCAGACTTTAGACTGGTCCTGTACAGCATACACACACAGACCTACAGCGTACACACACACAGACCTACAGCGTACACACACACAGACCTACAGCGTACACACACACAGACCTACAGCGTACACACACACAGACCTACAGCGTACACACACACAGACCTACAGCGTACACACACACAGACCTACAGCGTACACACACACAGACCTACAGCGTACACACACAGACCTACAGCGTACACACACAGTACACACACACAGACCTACAGCATACACACACACAGACCTACAGCGTACACACACACAGACCTACAGCGTACACACACACAGACCTACAGCGTACACACACACAGACCTACAGCGTACACACACAGACCTACAGCACACACACACAGACCTACAGCGTACACACACAGACCTACAGCGTACACACACACAGACCTACAGCATACACACACAGACCTACAGCGTACACACACACAGACCTACAGCGTACACACACACAGACCTACAGCGTACACACACACAGACCTACAGCGTACACACACACAGACCTACAGAGCGTACACACACACAGACCTACAGCGTACACACACACAGACCTACAGCATACACACACAGACCTACAGCGTACACACACACAGACCTACAGCGTACACACACACAGACCTACAGCGTACACACACACAGACCTACAGCGTACACACAACACACACACACACACACAGCGTACACACACACAGACCTACAGCATACACACACAGACCTACAGCGTACACACACACAGACCTACAGCGTACACACACACAGACCTACAGCGTACACACACACAGACCTACAGCGTACACACACACAGACCTACAGCGTACACACACACAGACTACAGCGTACACACACAGACCTACAGCGTACACACACACAGACCTACTGTGTACACGTATGAGGAGAGTACCTCTGGCTGTGGCCACCTCCCCGTCAGCATGGGCCATCCTCTGCATGGCTGTGGAGGCCACACACACAGGCATGCTCAGCCGCTGTCCCAGGACACTCAGGGACATGTCCACTGAGGACACGTCTCGGAGCACACGGGGGACCACACACCACCTGCACAGGAGTACACAGGGACAGTTACTGGAGTACACAGGGACAGTTACTGGAGTACACAGGAACAGACAGTTACTGGAGTACACAGGACAGTTACTGGAGTACACAGAGACAGTTACTGGAGTACACAGAGACAGTTACTGGAGTACACAGGAGCAGGGATAGTTACTGGAGTACACAGGGATAGTTACTGGAGTACACAGGGATAGTTACTGGAGTACACAGGGATAGTTACTGGAGTACACAGGGACAGTTACTGGAGTACACAGGGACGGAAGAGGACATGACAGCACAACACTGAACACTGAATCATTTAAGGCCTCAGGATAAGGGCATGATAAAAGTGAATAACCAAAACTGCAGCTCATCTACAAAATGAGAGTGAAGTTTGAAAGCTTCATGTCATCGTGGGTTTGACTTTCTGAAATGAGTGACAAAAAATATTGAACTTTTTCATGATTTTCTAATTGTCTGTATGGTATGTCAGGTCAGTATTAAAGGTTTCTATATGAATAATAAAGTTTTCTAGTTGAGTGATCTGGAACCTTCTGGGCAGGCAGAGGTGGATCTGTTCGCTTCACAGGAGTCGACTTACTCTATGGTTCTCCCTCATAGTTCTCCAGAGAGCCAGGCTCTCTGGGAAAAGGTTTCCCCCGTCTTCCCCTGATTTGGTCGACCCTACAGAGGGTTCTCCAGGAAGGCCACAGACTGTTGTTGATGGCTCCATACTGGCCAACATGACCATGATTTCCACTGCTGTACAGTCTGAGTTGCAGTCTCCTGTGGCGTCTCCCGGCCAGGAGAGATCTGCTGTCTCATTTGGGGTTCAAATATGGCATCCCAATCCTCAATGCCTCCAACTGTGGCTGTGTCAGTCCTATCTGTCTCGGGTGGAGTCCGGATGGTTCTGGTGTTATCCTGTAGCTGAACACTGCATTTGTACTGAAGCTGTTGTCCCGTTCACACTGTACCAAACCTTTGAGTCTGCCTGGGTTTGAGCCAGATCTAGTTGTGTGCCTGCTTGGAGAGGCCAGGGACAAGCTGCAGTTGTTATGCCTGCTGTGAAAACTGGAAACTTATACTGCAGCCACGGCAAGTACGAGGTGTTCAGACCAGCTGTTTGTGTTACAGAGGAGCTAAGAAGGGCTGTCCTCTTTCCACACAGCGCCTTCACACTTGGATTATTGAGGTCATTCACTGTGCTTACAGGGTTCCAGTTGATGTGAGGGCCCATCCTTCTTGAGGGGTCTCCCCTTCATGAGCAGCTATGTGCTGCAACATCTGGGGCTTCACTAGCACATTTGCCAGATTCTACAACATCACTGTGGTCTCTCCTCATCCTCTTGGTGTGGTTCTTCAAGTCAGGAGGGATAAAATACAACGAAAGTTATGTATGTAACTATGGTTCTATGAATCCCAGATGACTGCCAGAGATACTTTGTCACTCAGGATCTTTGTGGCTCCACGAAAAGATTCTGTAGGAATAGAGTCATGGATGATGGGGGACTATATTACATTCCGGGGTGTCATCCATGTGTGACTCATTTGGTATTACTACTCGAACTGCGCATGTGTGAAGGGAACATTCAGTCCTTTCAGCACCACCCTCTGACGCTCTTCTGGGATTCACAGAACCGTAGTTACATCATTTTCATTTCATAATTCTATTGTATTGTATTTCACATTAAATCATACTGAAGTTAAAGTTATAAGACTTATTAGTCCAGGATCAGAGTTTACCAGCAGCATACTAGTGTCCCATGGGTGCAGACATTATACAAGCACTGGACTGTTTGCCAACCGGCTGTGCCAACCCCCCTCACCTGCCTTTATTTACAGTCAGGAAATTAAAATTGTACTTCTGATAAAAAGAAAGTATGTGGGCATATCATGGGAGGACTTGTGTTTTGGTCTGATCTTTGTCTGGTCTTCGTCCAGTCTGCTTCGTGCTTTGATTCTCTGCTTCTGTACTTTTCTGTATTTCCTGGGAAATGTTTTGTTGTTTGTTAAATGTGGTCCATCAATAAATGCTTTCTGATTCTGCAATTAGAACTGCCTCCAGTGGATTATTTTTTGTGTCTCAAAATGATTTCAGTATAGCTCAATAGAAAGTAAAGCAAGAGTGAGAGCAGCTCCAAAAACCCTCCTCAATCTGCCCTGACACAGATCTGCTGACCCTCCCTGACCAGTCCTCCTGTTAAACTGCACTCAGACCTTTGACCGAGGCACAAAGGACACTGAGAGCCCCAGTGGAAATGTTGCTGCAGAAAAACATGAATTTCCCCCAGGATTAATAAAGTCTCTGTCTCTGGGTTTGCCTCTCCATGGATCTGACCTGCAATTTGGCCATGAGTGCCTGAAATTGTATCATTTTGGACAGACTCTTTATTCCAAAGTTACAAAGTGCACCTTTAACAATGAAGCTTTTTCCACACAACAGTCTGATACATTAAAAAATCGTACCTGTTCTGCATTTTTTTATTTTTATTTTGTCCTTTCAAAACACTTAAATCTGTGAACCTTACTATGGCAGAACTTTAATGTGTGAGCTTTGCTGGATGTTAGAATCATTAAATCAGACAATATCAGTAACTGCACAGTAGCAGAACAAATATTTTATACTGTACTGACATGAAGGCATTTCAAAAAATAAAATAATAAAAATACTCTCAAAATGACAAATGTATCAGGATTGAGCTGATGTTGGAAAGATTTGGATAGTTACATTTCCAGCCTCTTGTACAGCAGTTTAAAATTCCTTTTCTAAATATTTGGAATCAAAGTCCCATTGCGGAAGATTCCACACAATGATAAAAATATTTTACTTGGAAGATCAAACTTTCCATCTCCACGGAGACGCACGCTACCAGAAACCTTATATGGTGCCACTTTAAATATCAAAACAAATAGAGCCTTTAGTATGCTCTTCTCAGAATGCACAAACTTCTGGAATGGAGGCATCTGGACGCGCCATTAAATTTACCAAAGCACATTTTCAATGATTTACTGACATCAGTATCTAAAAGCTGAAGGTTTTAAGACTTTAAAACACTAAAGAACCATTTTGAAGGGTACAAATGTCCAATGTTTGCTTTTATCACTAAATATGGAAAATTATTTGATAGCCTCACAATTTATATTTTACTTTAATTTGTATTTACTCTCACAAACAATCTGGTGAAGTATGTCATATAGCTGTAGATAAAAGAAAACAAGTACAATATTTCTGTAAAATCTTACAGTAAAATCTAAAGAGATATATATATATATATATATATATATTATATATATTATATACATATACATATATATACACACACGTCAAATTATTCTAAAAAGCAAAGGCTGTTAACCAACACATGTGGACATGTGTTGGTTAACAGCCTCTCACGCAGTCCACAGCGAGAGCCGTACCTGTTGAAGGCCTCCACATTGTCGTGCAGAGTGCGTTGCTCATCAGCACCAGAGCGGTAGTAATCGTACACGGCTTTGGGCAGCACTTTTCGGGCCTGCTCCTCGAAGTCACTCACACACACGCGCTGGGACATGGCTGCACTGGGGACAGAGCTGAGAGGAGCAGAAGAGAGCAGGGACAAAGGCCAGTGGTCCATCAATCATTAACCCCAGCACAGGGCCAGCTCACAGGGGACACAGGAGGACACAGGACGACACACCAGAGTGGGACAATCTCTTATTGCTTAGATAAACCTGGATACTTCATATGGGAGCCCTGTGTCGAATCATATATTAAATATATGGAAAACTCTGCATTTGACCCATCCCTCATTTCTGTGAAGGAGCAGGTGACCCATCACCAGATCTTTGGATTTGACAAAATCCAAAGATTTTATTTTTATCTTTATCCCCCACCCCCACCCCCCCACATATTACTGTACAGATAACACACAGCACACGTTTTTACTTTCAGATTTATTTAGCATCAAACAAATTCCAATAAAATCATAAGAAATTGTGTTCACCAGCACCAAACCAATGTCCCACTAAAAAGGTAAAACTAGAAGGAAGGTTAATAAAAAGCAGGCAGTAGGGCTGGGGCGAGTACACGAGGAAAGCAATTTATCTATAGACAAGTGAAAACACTAGCACTGAGCGACAGGACACGGTGCTACAGACAGTGGAGTCTGAGACAGCAGCCTGTGGCTATGTCAGAGCAGGCTGCTCGACAGTCCTGTTCTTTAGGTTCACATGGGTCACAAACATGTCCGAGTAGTTTATGTCCCGCTGAGCTTTAGTCCCCTCCTCCTGGACCTCTCCAGGACCATGAGCCCAGAGCAGAGCTGCAGGGGCCCAGCGGGATGCACTGTTTATGGGTACGTCTGAGAGGCTGTGCAGGTGTGGGGGGGCGCAGAGGCCGGTCCCCCTCTCCCATCCCACAGCACTTTACCACCCACACCCAGAAAGACGGGCTGACCGCAGGCCAAGAGGGCATTGTGTTGGCCCTCATGTGGCGGGTCGTGCGGCTGCCGGCGAGGGGTGCCAGGAGCGCGGGGTGCCTCCAGCTCCTACCCCGTGTGCTCCGGTACGGCTGTGCCCCCAGACCCACACGAGTCTGGTGGATCTCCAAGCCTTCGCTGGACCAAAGACAAGAAGCAGTGTGAGCTCACACCCAGGCGGTCCATCCCTCGTACAGCTGGGCCAGGTTCTCCAGGCTGGTGGCCTCCTTAATCACCATGTCCACCTAAGCACAAACAAAACTGAGTACACCCGAGACAGGGAGGGCAGGCGGCACGTGGGGGGAGACTGCAAATGTACACAAACTAGTTTCAAAAGCTTGGCTCCTAAACACACCAACAATGCTGCATGATACTTCTTTGAAGCACACATTAAGTGAATATTGTCGTACAGTACGTGTTAACCTGCTCTTCAACAACAGTCCACCCGACACATCACATTCATATACAGACAAGCTCTGTGAACGGCTGCAGAACGACACAAGACATCATTTATGGAATTGAACTGAAAAAATAAGTGCTCTACCACTCTGCTATGGCCCCTGATTCTACCCTCACTGTGTTCACTTTGGCTGTTGGCAAAATGAAGATGAGAACCTTCATTTGTCCTCCAAATGAGATTTCAATGTTTCATTTGCCAAGTGCAGGAATAGTTGTAGTAGAATAGAAGGTCAAATATTTGACAATAAATAGGGAGGGATATAGAGGTTCAAGTAGATGCTAGGAGATACATGTGATGGTGTGTGGTGGATACCTGCTCTGTGACGCTGATCCTCCTGTTGGGGTCGATGTCGCGGCCCTCCAGTTTGGCCTTGACCCTCTTCCACACACTGACGGCGTATGAGTTCCTCTCCTGCACAGCTGCACACACACAGCACACAGGGTTAGACCAGCAGAGAGTGAGGGGTCAGCAGAGAGCACAAGGGGGCAGCAGCTTACCTCGGCCCGTTTTGGGGTCCCGCAGAGCCCTCTTGGGACTGGGGTTCAGGCCTTTGTTCACCACTAAAGCACTTGGGGGCGTGTCAGTGGGCGTGGCGATGTTGCGTGGGAGGGCCTTGCGTGCACTCTGGGACATGGAGTCTGGCTGGGTCTTCACCAGGCTGCACCGCACGGCTGATGGGATAAAAAACACTTTAGTAATCTATAAAAAAGGTCAGAATATATATTTATGTGTGTACTTTGACTGCACATTATGAAGCCATGACTCACTGCATTTTCATTTCCTGTTGTAAAAGAGCCTCTGAGGTGAAATTAATGAAACATACTACATGACCATGGCTTCATTTATTTTTCATAAGCATGACATCTGTGTCCCCAGATAAGAGGTAAACATTACACGTTAATGATAGCAGTTGAACAGTCAATCAAAGCAGCCAGAGGCACTATGACCAACAGGAGAGAAACCAAACCAGCTGGAAAGAACCTAAAACGGTCATAGCAATTATGTAGATTCTCACTACTACAGTCGGGCATCTGTCCCCTGTAAAGACATTTAACTACTCAAAAAGTGCACATTCAGAGAATTATGAGATAAACACTGACACTGATCCAGGCCGAGTCGTGGAGGCAGTGTGTGTACACATCATGGAGACCTGCCTCCTTTATGGGGCAAACACCAGGCCCCCATGACATAAATCCTGTATTATGAGATCAACTACATGGTTTGAAGTTCACATCTGGGTTCACATTGGTTATGTGAGATAAGATTATATTTTAGGATAGACAAGTAGTGACTATAGTTAAGTCAATGTAATGTTCCCTGCAAGTATGGAAACCCAAGATGTATACGTGTGTGCATACGCGTGTGTGTGTGCGCAGGTACCTGTGGCGAAGGTGGTGTGGGCAGTGCTGACTGGACTGTTGCAGGCGGTGTCTCTGTCAGTGACCAGAGGAGAGGCGAAGCCCACCAGCCCATTATACACACTACACACAAAACAGTACACAGAATTACAACATATTATTACAACTATTACAACTAGTCAACATTATTAGAAGTGTGATGAGGAGTCCGGAGAGGGTGTTACATGAAGTTGACAAGCCTAAATATACCAGGTGACTCCCCCCTGACCCCCCCCCCCCGACTGACCTCTGGGTCTGGGGCAATAGCTCCTTAAGTGTGCTGGGCACCTCCTCCAGGAGCTCCAGCTGCTCCTGGCTGCGTGGCTGCCCACTGGCCTGCAGCACGGTGAACAGGGCCAGCTGCATGTTGTCGTGCCACGCCTTGTACTCCATCAGGAAGTGTCTCACACTGCCTTCATACACCATCTCCTCCCCCTCTGTGAGAGCAGCCTCTTCATCCTGCAGGTGAGCATCAGGGCCACAGCAGTCAGACATTGAACATGGGCAATATCAACAAGGAGTGACTTTATGAAAGGAGACTTCATTTGAATCATGTTGTACAGTTAAATCTCTATTCAGGGGTCATGATAATGACATCTATTGAAGTACAGTGTTTTAGCAATGGTCCAGAGATGAGCTGGAAATGTCTTAGCGTGTGTTTAGGTTGAAGTTAGAGATGGCACATCTGTTATCAGCCATCTGTCAGATTTGTCTTTTTGAGCAAACTAAAGGAAAAAAAAAGCATTAAATCCCAAAAAACGACAAATGATAGTGAGTTTTAGAAATAAACTTCAGATAAATGCGGTCTGTATTATAGATTTTAATGCTCAGCTGGATATCGGCCACAACAGCAGACAAATATGGGTTAAATATATTGGACCGTCTCTAGTTCATGTATTGCACAAAAATAAAAGATTAAACTGAAAGTTCCTACAGCTTATCATTTTCATTGAATCTTTGTGGAGCTTTTGGACTGTCTTTGTCATATAATTAAATTTTTCATAACTATCATATTGATATATAACAAGTATTTCAGCATAATTTTAATAACGATCCCACCTATGTGTGTATTTCATGCTTTAGAATGAAAGAAATGAAATACTGGACTTGGTAACAACACTGGGTTGTGTCCTGTGTGTTGAAGAATTACATAAACACACATATAAATGAGACTTGTTTAAAATGAGAGGAGCCCGACCTTGGCCATAGCTCGGAGCAGGTGCTTGACGTCTCCCAGCTGGCGGTTGTGAGTGGACAGAATGCTCTTGATGGAGTCGACCAGGAGCTGCAGAGTCTCACCACAGACCTCCAGCTGTCTCTCCTGCTCCTCCTGTTTCCTCTGCTCTGCCCCCAACTCCTCCTCCAGACGTCTGCGGGCGCAGCTCAGCCAATCAGGGCTGCCGATAGGGAGGTCCAGCACAGGGCTCTGCAACCACAGAACACACGATTCCATCTGACACTAACAAGTACAACTTGAACTGTATCTCTCACTTGCAACCACCAAGCAAAGATCCTTACAGCCAGACATTTAGACTGACCCATGTATGAGGGGGGCAGGAGGGGGGAGAGGGGAGAACTCTGCTCAGAAAAGATTTCAAACCAAGCTTCCACACTCAGGACTCACATTCCACTGTACCCAGCTCTACACACAGAACACACAGGTGGATGTACAGTTGGACTGACCAGCCTCTGCAGTAGCTGCAGCTCCAGGGGGGACACGCTGCTGTTGAACTGGGCTGCATATGAGCATGTCTGCTGGCAGCGTTTGAGCAGCTCAAACAGGGTGGCGTCCATGTTAAGGGCCTCTGGGGTGCGTGTCCTCAGGCCCTCCAGGTTCAGGATGGTGGAGCACAAGAAGGTCACCTGGACGACAGAAAGCCGTGAGTGGATGTGGAATCACTCTCATAATCATGAAAGAATAGAGTAAAGCAGAGTACCTGGCTGGTGAGCTGGCCCTCCCTGGCCACCATGGCCCTCCTCTCTCTGATAGTTAGCTCAAAGTCCTGCAGGACTGGGGCCAGGGCAGGGTTGGCCCCTCCTGCCCATTTCAAACGCTGCTCGATACTGGCCTCCAGGGACACCAGCTTCTCCTAAACACACAGAGCCACATGTTAGAACAGTGCAGCTCCCATCAGTGGAAGATGAGAATAAGAGTGTGCATTGATGGTTCCTTGGAACCATGAAATGTAAGACTTAATCATTACATGTCCTACTGCTGGAGCACACGAGTGTGAGCAGTGTTGTACAGTACCTGCACAGACACAATGGCGCTCTCCTCCTGGCTCAGCTTGTACAGTTTCTTCTTCATGTTGTTGAGGATGACTGAGCGCGGGGGGATGCTCACACTCAGAGGCTGACTGCTGGGGCCCAGGACGTCCTCGTGTTGCCACTGTATTGGACATTACAGTATATAGTTATGCTATTATGTGTTAAATACAGTACTATGATGTGAGCACTCTTTTCTGCTTGTACCTGGAACACAGCCGTGTGGAGTTGGCTGCGCTGCAGGCTGGCCTTGGCTATCTCCAGGCCTGTGTCCAGCCTGCGTAGGAGATCCATCTTCTTCCAGGCCGTGTCGAAGGAAGAGGCCAGCACTGTGGCCCTGTTCAGGAGCAGCTGAGAGACACGCCCTGAAGCCAAGCACTGCTCCACCGCAGCCTTACACACCTCCTCCAGAGACACCTGCAGAGCCCGGTGACACATTAGACAACATACTGGTCCATGGTGGTCCTGCTCCTCTAGTGTGGCATGTCTATCCTGTATATGACTCATGCAACTAGAGGTCTTTCCCTTTAAACATGAAATCTCATTTTTAGATTTTCACCAGAACCCATCATTGCATTCACTGTCTGGCTCTGTCTAAGGAGACATTCTAAACTGCTGCTACATGTGTATCTGAACATTTGTCTGTTGCCTGGAACCTTGCACTTTAAGTTGGCCTTGACCATTGTACCTCTTCCCACACTATTGTTTGTTGCTATTCAAGATGCTGCTCTAGCCTCAGGTAGTTTTGGGTAAAATTTCCACATTGAGCACACCTTGCTCTCTGCTCCAAAGTCCTTGGCCTCCACGTGGCTGACAATGTCCAGGCCCAGAGCAGAAATCATGCTGCAGAGGGCCAGCCCCATGGCCTGACTGGGCAGTCCCATCAGCATCTCCCTCACAAAGTCTGCAGTGAAGGCTCTGATAGGTCGGATCATCTGCTCCTCGCTCACCACAGCTACAGTGGCAGAGGTGGGAGGCAGGTGCAGCGCCTGGCCCCCTAATGCACTCGGCCCATTGGTGGGAAACAGGTCTTCAGAAGGGTAGGTACCTGGACACATGCAAAGAGAGGTTACACGCCAGCAACTGCGCACTGCATTCATTTAAAATGTTGCTTATGTTCATTTTAATGCAACTGCTGTTGCAATATTGGGTGATATGTATACATTTTATTCTATTTAAAAATCAAATGGTAGTTGGAAAAAGTGTAATACAAGTCCCAGTGTGTGGTCTTACCAGAGAGCACCTGGGAGAAGGAGGAGCACAGTCTGAAGAAGTCCCTGATGGTCTGCAGCCTCTTGAGGAAGAAGAACTCATCCATGAGCTGTCTCTGAGATGTACTGTCAAAGAAGTGCATCTGAGCAGCCCGTGCCTCCTTTAACACATCCACCTTCCTCCAGGCTCCTGGCACCTCCACACAGCTCAGCTGAGATGAACATACAGTTAGTCCCGGTACAGAGATCTCCTGTGTGTGTGCACTGACAATCTCCCATGTGTATCTCCCATGTGTGCACACTGACAATCTCCAGTGTGTGTGTGTGCGCACTTGTAACAATTCACCTGTTCTTGACAACCGAAAAGCTACATCGCAAATTTAAGGACGCGGGGGAGGATCTATTCAATCAGCGGGGTGAAGCAAAGACTCTTTTAATGGAATTACCAGATATTCGCGAGTATGGCCACATTAACAATAAATCACCACCCCGCGCTCGAGCGCAACCAGTTCCCTAGACCCAAACAGAAATCCCAAATGTCAATTCCCAGTGTAACAAACAATAAAGAGCGGTTCATCCAAATCCACCACCTTCACTACAACCGCCCCAACAAGCTTTACTTGTCCCCAGAAACTTTCCAAAGTTTTCCTTGCCCACTGCGCGGCGGCAGCGTGACGTGAGTCTGTAGAGTTTGCGTTACTCACGCCACCCGCGCTCCGGTTTTGTCCCATAGTCCAGCAGCTCCTGTAGAGTAGTACAATCCAACACGTATGGAAACGCAATAATCCACAAGAAAGGGATATATTCCAATAATGTTAGCTCCACGGCCCTGACAGCTCCTGGCATGTGTCCAAGTCAGCGTGTGACGTCACACCCTTAAATCCCCGTGCGTCCAGAGAGGGCACAACGAACAGTCTGATATGGCCTAAATAATAACGGCACATACATGTAAAGGACCATACACCATAGATATTGATAACACATAAGCATTTCAGCCCAGCTGAGTGAATAAAGAGCAGTGAAGACTTAAGTGGTCTTTACATCCCCCCCAGCCAGCGGCTTATCGGGTCCGAAATAGGGTTTCATGTCAACCGCTTTTACAGTGTCCACCTTCAACTTATCTGCTAACCATCGTACTTGGTAGTTCACAGGTCCTAACTTCTTCTCTACCTTAGCTAGCCCTACCGATTTGGGCGTTTCGTTTGTCAAGAACAGGCAAACTGTTACACACTGACTATCACTAATACTAACAGGCAGATTCTTATTGCAGCAATAATTTACATACTACAAACTGTTTCAAAGGGCACATTAACATTTTACACAAATCAATTTACAATAAAACTCTTGCAGTAGGACTTCCATTTGTCCATTTATGTAAATTGTCTGAAGTGGCTTGTGTGTGCTGAATGATACGTTTGATGACCTCTGATACACGACTGGTACTTAACTAGCCCACAGCTCATCCTTACCTTCTCAGTCAGCTGACCGAAGGCAGTCTCCAGCTGAGTGAACATGCCGTCAAAAGCTACCAGCAGCATCTGTCCCGCAGACATCTGTCCCGCTGAGGTCTGCCCTGGAGAGGTTTGCCCTGGAGACGTCTGCCCCATAGAGGCCTTTGTAGGGTCCTGTGCTGAGCTGTCACAGCGAGGCTGGATGAGCTCAGAGTACTGCGCACGCAGCAGCCTGGACACACAGGACAACATTACAGACATTACTCCAACATTTAGTATGGGACAACAGAGTCAAGGATTTTGTCAGCACACCTCAGAGACTTTCATTCAAAAAGTTTATTTAAACTTATTTAAAGTTTAAATAAAAGTTTATTTAAACTTTTTGAGACACTTTTTCTGTAGCTCATTTGTTTATTTTATAATGTTCTAACTAATGTATTCTACATTTTAGATGTTTGTATACAAATATGGTGGATTTTGCTAATACCTAAAATAGTAATTTCACATTTCATCCTGAGCCCTATACATGCCCGGGCATTCTGTCAGAAAGCATTGTGCTTAGCAAGAGGGTGTGGAGGCAGTCCTGACCTGGTCACATGCAGGCAGTGTCCATCAGGCTCCAGCCCTGCAGAGGCCTGCAGATTCTCCATGAGCTCCTGAAGGCCTAGGCCATCAGATGCCTGCTCCACCAAAGTGTCCAGCTCGGATAGCATGCTCTCCAGTGTGGGTTCTCCTTTGATCATGCAGCGCAAAGCCTCAGGGAAGATGATCTGACGGAAGTTTGTGTTCAGCTCCTACAAAGCATGAAAACATGTGAAAACAATGTTAGAATAGAATGTATTTGTGCTTATTAGGTTTCTCAGAAGCAGTGTGCACACCTGTAGGCAGGTGTAGACTGCATTGGCCAGGTACATGGTTTGGCTGGTGGCTGAGGGGGCAGGCAGGTCCAGGTCATGGGGCAAGGGGGGGCAGCACTGTAGCAGTGTGCTCAGTGCACATACATTCCCCATCATACTACACAGCTCCTCCAGAAACCAGGCCCCATCCCGAGAGGTCAGCTCCAGCAGCTGCTCTCCTGCACTGGCTGCAGCACCCTCCATCACCAGGTTCCTCCTGTGACATGGCCCAGAGAGAGACGAAACATTCAGTACAAATACAGCTGTCACATGCAATGTCATTCATCCACTCTGAGTGTATCAGAACAGAAAAGAGTTTTGTGTGACCAGTCCAATGAGTCATATGCCATGTATGACAGATTAGAAAGGGTGAGGGCAGGCCCTACCTGCATAGAGTGCATAAAGCAGAGGTGACGATCCCTGACAGGCTGAGAGCGCCCATGTCTCCGTTTTCCTGTAGAAACACAGCGATACAGCGCTGGATCTCCTGGAGCTGCTCCTCACATGCCACCGCACTGGTGCCCTCGGCCTTTAGACGCTCTGCCTGGTGCAGGATGCGCTCATTGGCTTCTGCCACCTGATGTTGTAAGGTCAACTCCATTTTGGAAAGGAACTGACAGGATGGGGAGGGTGGCTGGGACGCAAACAGCACCTCATATCTGGGGAGGACAAAAAGATGAAGAACAACTACGTGATTCATGTTATATTGTCACATCTAAGATTAAAGACACTAGACATCTTTGGTTGAAGACGTGTTGCAGCTCATCCAAGCTGCTTCTTCAGTTCTGGTCAGAATGCTGGTGAACACTTCCTTATATCTGCAGGGAGGAGCTAACTAAATGAAACTAACACACACTTGTTTACAGTTTCTGTTTGTTAGTTTGACGTATTGACCTGTACAGGGTGTGGGGTCTAATTAACATAACAATTCATGGTCATAATGGAGCTTCCACACCTCTGGACCTGACCTGGATACACCTGTTGTTCTCTTGTTTGTTTTGATTTAGGTTTGAGGATGGAGTTGTAAATAGGAGGTAGATGGTGTGTGAGTCTCCATTTCTGTTTAGAGAAGGATTCCATTTCTTAACAATCCTCTATCAAACCAGTTCTTTTCTCTGGCTAAAATCTGTACCTCGCTGTCCTCAAATGAGTGGCCCGTGGCTTTTAAGTGGAGATGTACAGACATCTTTGTGTCCGTTTGTGTGGTTCAGAGCCTCTAAACGAAACAGCAGTACATACTGTCGATAGATATGCTGACATCTCTCTGCAGTCATCTCCCTCATGAGCTCCTCTAACCAGCTCTTCCACTGGTAGGCTCGGTGGCGTCTTAAGCTGATTCGGGGGTACAGAAGGGCCACAGTGGCGTAGCTGTGCAACTGCTCCAGGCAGCTCCGCAGAAGACCACGGCGCTGCTGCAGCAGAGAGCTCAGCTCCGCCTCCAGGCTCTCACACTGGCTAATCACATGGGCCTGGCCAGCATTCTGCAGGAAGGCTGTGGCTGGTACATAGCTGGGGGGACCTGAGGAGCAGAGGCAAAGAGATCATTCCAACACAAACACTTTCAGATATTTTCACACTTCTGAATCTACGAACGCACCCAGGTCTATGGGGCTGCTGATGTCCTGCAGCAGGCTGGCCAACTGAGTAGCCTCCAGACTGGAGAAGGCAGCCTGGTACTGGCTGATGTACTGCTCCAGGTCTGATAGCTTGGACTGGATGGCCTCTTGCACAGTCCTCTGTCGAGACTGAAGCTGGTTGTGTTCAGAGTACCTGCACATATACAACCATTAAAACCCAAAGATATGACAATGTGCTTTGTGGGTGCTGAAAATTAATTTATTTTTTCACCAAACATGAAAGTATAACTGCAGGGTAACTGGAGGATGTTGAGCTATTCTTAATATAGCATGAACTGTAAAATGACTTTGCTTTGGATTTGGTGCTGTGAGATGGTGCAGCAGTGAGTCTGACCTCTGTTCTAGCGTCAGGATGAGGTGCTCTGGTTGGCCCTCGGCTCCTTCCAGAAAGGCCAGCTCCTCCTGCAGGGTGACCTGCTGCTTCTCTCCCTTAAACAGCAGATCCTGGAGCATCAGGTACTCATCCAGGGCCTCTTCCATCTGTGGCAGCACTGCCAGCATCTCATCACGGTTCTTAAACCAGTTCACCTGCAAGCACACAGGCAGTCAGCCCAGCAGCCTCAGTCTTTATATCAACATATTCATTTATCAAGTCAATAATTAAATGTTATGTAATGAAAAGGGTACAATTTAGTTAATGACATTTCACCCCCTGACCCAACTAAAATCTCCCAGCCTCTGTCTTTTGTGCCAAAATAACATGGCTGCTTTTAGATAAGTAATATTTGTGGCTGTAAAAATGTCCACTGTGTTGTTGCACTTGCCTTGATCTCTGCCACTCGTGAGGAGAAGAGTGAGCGTGTGATGTCCCTCTCCATCTCACGTTTAGTCTGCCTCGTCTCAGTCTGCTGGCCCCCTCCTCCATACACAGCCCCAGCAAAGCCCACCTCTCCCCCGGCAGTCCAGTCCACCAGGGGGTCATATACGAAAGCTTCCAGCAAGGTTAGGAGGGTCTCTCTGCCCCGGCGCATCATTTGAACCACCTGCAGAGCACCACAGTCAAACCACTGCCCCACACAGGCTGCAGTGCTCTTACATGTCAAAAGAGGGAGCAGTTACCTGTTCACAGGAGAGCCGAAAGATCCCCTCCACCCCTGTGACTCCCAAAGCCGTTTCAATGTTATGTGTCATCCTAAATGGGACCTTCTCTGGTACCCGCAGACTCTTTCCTAGCACACAGGTACACACAACATTAGCACTGCTCAACATGTAAAATGAGCATTGAACAATAATAAAGTGTTGCTTATTATTAACCAGACTTAGTCCTCATCCTTAGTTTTCTAGTAAAGAGATGACTTTCCTACCTTTTTCAAAGCACACATTGTAGTCTATGTGCACCACCTCTCCAGAGGTCATGTCAATCAGCACGTTGTCGAGATGACGGTCACCAAGTCCAATGATGTAGCCCACCATGGACATGACCGCAGTAGAGCGAGCATATGACTGGGGAAAACACATTCATACAGACTATGGAGTAAAATGCATCATTCTTAAGAATGTATATATGTTACATACATACAATATTTAAATATAAAAAAATTTCCAAATTACAACTGAAAACAAAACCAGAGGAGAAAGAGACTGGTAAATAAGGACTAAATGCTTGTGATTAAAACAGGTATCATGTCCAAAGATAGCATTAATCATATGTCAAGAACTATCTTATGGTTGATTGCCCACAGAAGCTTGTGTTGGTGTGTACCTGTGTTACCCTCCACCACTCGCTGGGAGTAGTACAGGAGCACCAGAGCTCCTTGGCCAACAGGTTGGAGGGAGTGGCCTCCATCAGGTCTTTTAGGACTTCCTTCATGACACTGAGGGGCCAGTCACGCCGGGACACCTCCACACTCAGTCCCACAGCCTTGAGTGCCGGGCCAATGTGGCTGTAGTACAGCTCACTGGGACGGGGCACAGAGGGCGCAGCCTGGGGGGTGGGCTGGCCTGAGTCCTGGGGAAGAACATGAGATAGGGGACACAGCCCTGGTTTTGGTCACAAGCAATTATGGGACCACATTAGTAAGACAAAACTGTACTTCTATCTGCTAAAGTTACAAACTATTTGCTTCATAATATTCTTTTTGTTATGATTGTTGTTTACTTGAATCAAAGTGAATTAGTGGGTTAGGATTTCTTAATGACCACCACATCACAACTATTAACTAGTGAGTGTGAGTGTGTGTGAGTGTGTGTGTATGTGAGTGTGTATGAGTGTGTCATATGGCTACTACTGAAGCACTTTATGCCCTCGGTTTTAAGGCTCAATCAAGGCTGTGAGCTAACCTTCTGGGACTGCAGTGCGGCCTCCCTCTGCTGCCAGCGCTTGTACAGGCCAAAGAGTGGTGTGGCCCCATCCACCCACTGGATGAGCCCTGAGCGAGTGCCCAGGGGAGTGACAGAGTAGTGCCGGGCATGGAACCGAGGCTGCTCCTGTTGGTTTATCTTGGTGAACATTGTGTTAACAATAGACAAGAACTGCATGATGCGCTCATCCAAGTGCAAGTCCTCCAAACCTGAACCGACACAAAACAAGAGTTTGTATCAGAGACAATGAAATCAACACAATGTGAGGCTAATAAGAATGGCTCAGATATACACTGAGTTTTAGACTGTCAGAGGCTGTCATCCTGTTTAAATAGCCTGTTCAAACACCAACTAGAAAAGCACTCAGAGAGCGCAGACCTCCGCCAAGGACTAACCCCATTTTTTATATAAATTGCGATAAAATCAGTCTTCTGGATCAGATCCGGATCAGCCTTTGGAATATGAAAGAGGATCCCATTGTCCATCCCTGAGTCAAATTTCATGGGGTTTGGTCAATAATTAACAGAGATATTGAGAAACAAAATTTTTGGCCCCATTTACCACAATGTTAACTAAAATTTCAAAGTGATCCAGAATCCAGGATTTCTTCTGGATCACCCCCAAAATGAGTCAGTTCTTCCTTTTCACATTTCCAACAAATCCTGAAAATTTCATCAAAATCGGTCCATAACTTTTTGAGTTATGTTGCTAACAGACAAACAAACAAACAGACAAACGCTGGCAAAAACATAACCTCCTTGGCGGAGGTTTATTACTCATACACTCCATCCACCAAGGCTGTGAGAATGTGTGAGAATGGAGTGTCTTGCCCAAAGACAACACATTAGCAGACCTTTGAAGAGATAGGGGTAGTTGCGTCCATCCGAGCCCAAGAAGAAGAGTTTTTTGGGCTTGGTCTTGGTGGGCAGAATGGTGATGGTGTTGCCCACATTCTGGATGGTGACCGTGTCAGAGGCAGACACTTCTCCAGGGAGGGCCATCTCTGTGGTGCTCATGGAGGCCAGGCGAGGGCTGATCTCATCCAGGCGCAGCAGGTAACTGGCCCTCTTGTGAGTGCGCTGTTGCAGGTTCAGCATGATCTGTGTGATAAAAACACAGGGACATTTATCTTGCCTCAAAGCATAATTGTATTATTTAATACTTTACAGCAACAGAGAGGGTCTGTTTTTCAATACAGTAAAAAGAATTGGAGCCAGAGTCGATGGAGCCGGAAGTGCCCATTCTCACTTCCTATTTGAATAAGGCTAACCTGCTAACTGCCACGTTCCATTTATATATACAGCCCATGGTAGAAGAATTCTCTGCCATCTTTAGAACCCCCGGCTACTTCATGTATTTTTGTACTTTTTTCCCTCAACTTTTTAAAACTGATACATATTTACCTCAGGTATTCCACCAGACCAAGTCAGAATTAGAAAAAAAGAAAACATGAAAACCTCTAATATGCACTTTAACCCACTACATTACTACTACCACCACTACTTGTGTCACTGCAAAGAGACCTGTTTGAAGGGTATCCAGCTGCTGGCCGGGCTGGCAGGGTTGTGAGGGGTGCGGAGACGTTCCAGGGCTGAGCTGATAGCCTCTCCGTATGTCTGCTGGAACCACTGCTCGTGTGGGGTCTCCACAGGGGCTGAGGTAATGCTACACACATGCTCCAGAGCAAAGACCACCGGGCGCATCAGAGCACAGTGCTTCTCCCGCATAATGGCAGTCTTCTCGTCCCTGTATCACACACAGACACAGCACGTAGGCAGAGGAGGGCAGTTAGTAAGACAAGTATTATACATTTTTAATGATATCTACAATTGGCTTATTTGAAGTAGTATTTAAGGTGATACATGTATGTTTGAGTAATCCTGTACCATCGTATATTTGAGGATAGAGTGCTGAGAACATGTAAATTATAACCAGAACCCTTTGAAGTGTTTCAAAAGGTTACTTTGACAAAATGAAACCATAAATATACATGCTGCATATTACTGTGAAATGGCACTATAAAGAGGCAGACCCAGCACCATAGACTGCATAAATGCACATAAGTAACATGCTGTCTGTTCCGTTACAAAAAGGAAGGGAACATGGGGGGACTACTGATGATCCCATTGACTTGCATTAGATTAACCCGCTCTACATGATCCTTTTATTTTGCCATAAATTCCTATTCCTAATATGGAGCCTGGGTCCAAATTCGCCTCTGTAACTGCTAGCATTGTGAGCTTCATTTGAGTGGAGCTCAATTCTATTGGGTGACTTCACACTCCCTCATACAGTCTATGGCCAACACATGATCAGTTCTGCAGTTTAGCGCAGAAATCCAATGGACACATTGTCAAGTTGTTATTGCAGTTTCATATTGCAGTTTACAATTAACAAGTTGCACATATTAGGGTTTAACAATTTATTTAAAACTAATCTAATAATTAGGACTGTGCAGCCGATCACACTTTTAAAATTCATTGTGATTATTATTCTAATCCCAAAAAGTTTAAACTGAAAAGTGAGTAGCAGTGCTAATAATAGATATTAATAGCTCAATACTGATGCAAATGTCAAACTAAAATACAAAATCTTCACAGATGAAACTATGGCTAATGAAATAGTGTTTTGTCGAGGAGTGTCTGCGCCATGTGCAGAGAAACACACCTGCGCAGGGTGTTGTTGCTCTGAACCCTCTTGACCTCATCCTCTAGCTGTTGGATCCTCCTCATCACGTGCATGTTCTGCTGCTGCAGGACACCCAGCCACAGCTCGTCCCAGAGCAGGGTAACCCTTCGCAGCTCACCCACCAGCTGCTGCACCTGTGGACAATAGGATAACAGTTCACATGTCTGAAATCTATTACAGCTACATGAGAGGCTATTGCACTTTTTTTTTTTTCCAAGATCCATTTTGATGATGACAAAATACACTATCAGCGAACAGAGCTCATCATTGCTATATGGATGTAGATCACAATGATTGCTGGCCATTGAATGATAAATTTCTCCCTTGACAGCAGCCTTAGCAGACAGTCCGAGCCGTACCTGCAGCACCATGACAGGGTTGGCCTGGGACAGCTTCTCCACGATCTTGCTGTAGCAATCATGCATCATGGCCTGGTCTGGGCTACAGCCCTGCTCCTCAGAGGGCTCTGGTCTGCTGCTGTCCACCTGCTCCTCTTCCTCCCCCAGACCGTCACTCTGCATACTGCCCAGGAAGGTGGGCAGGGCCGATGGCAGTTTGGCCCCTGTCAACACAAACTATGAAACCAAGGACTCCCTTTTTCAATAAAATTATATATATACAATATATGGACATTGACTTGTGGTATATCACTATTACAGCTGTGCATTATATACGCCATGAGCTCATTTACATAAGATCATGCTGAATAAAAAAGCCCACCTGCACTCTGAGCCTCTCCTCCCAGGGACAGAGAGCCCACGATGGCAGGGTACAGGATGAGGTGTGGGGAGTCCTGGGCCACTCTGCACAGCAGGCTGCAGATGCTCTGTCGGATGTAGGCCTCTGGGTGGTTCAGACGGGAGAACAGCTGTGGGATGATGGCTGAGGAGAAATGGAACATTAGAGGCATGATAAGCACAGTTTATCCACACAGACTGGAATGGATCTGAGCAAAGTACTTACCTCTCCAGGGGGCTGTTGGGGTGGAGGCCAGCCCGACCTCTAGACCCTCACGGAGCTCTCCAGCATGCTTCACTAACAAGCGCAGGAGGCGCAGAGTGGCCATCACTATCAGGTCATCATTGCTCTGCTTACTGACATTACAGGACAGGAGCAATTTGGGGTCATTCTCATCCAGAGGCACCTGCAACAACAGTGGCAGTGAGAGGGGCTGACAGACCCTGCAGAGTAGTTACATGCTGCAGCAAGCTCTCACCTGTCCTGCATTGAGTTTGAGGAAGGTGAAGTAGGCCTGACAGGAGACACGATACAGGCCAAAGATGCGGTCCACCACACGCCTCCACACCCTGATCAACCCATCTGCAATGGGCTGGCCCATGTCCAGCAGCCAGGGGCAGGCAGCAGTCAGCTGTCTCCAAATCACATCCACCAGGTCATCCTCCTCATCCTCCTGCTGCAGGGCTATGTCTTCATCCTGGAAAACACAGTTTAGAGCAGGCATGTCCAAAGTATGGCCCGGGGGCCAAATGTGGCCCTCAGACAAATTTTTCTTGGCCCTCAGGCGTCCAGGTGAATTGGCCCAAATTACCTTGTATCAATTAAAAAGTTTTTTTTTTACTGCAGGTTTTTTTTTAAATCTACCTTGGTGAAGCTAATATTTAATATTTGTTGTGTGGTTTTAAGGATCTAAGCATGAAGAAAGACTGATGGCTCATTCTAACAGGTTAAACATGCACAAATTTCAATTATTCACTGTATTGAGCACCAGTCTACGGCCCTCGATTGGCCCTCTGCTTTGTCTGCGTTTAGATATGTGGCCCTTGATGAAAAAAGTTTGGACACCCCTGGTTTAGAGCCTGGCCTGCTCACCTGTTCCTGCTACAGTGAGCGCACTATAGTAAGTGTACAGCGAGTGCATAGAGAGTACCTGTATGCCTGTGGGCCGGCACATGGCCTGTCCCAGGACACTGAAGATGGCACTCTTATCTTCTTCACTGGTGCCTTCAGGCAGCAGCTCCTCAATCTCCTTCTTCTCTGCAGGCAGCAGAGGCATGCCTTCCCCTTGGCTGAGAGAGTTTAAGAGTTATTATTCTGAGCTTTTAATATCACACATGTAGAAATGAGCCACTACTGACCTGGCATTATCAACCACCTTCCTGCCCCAGCGGTAACTCCAGCTGGCCAGAGCAGCCCAGGACTTGGCCATCTCTGGGGCCAGGCTGGTGGACAATTGGTAGAGCTGGCCTAACACGTAGTCAGCTTCTCCTACGCCCACTTTGACTGCAAACACAGAGAGGGTGTTTGCAGTCAGAGTGGGCTGCAAACACCTCAGGCATGTGTTCAGGTTCAGAGGGAGTGTGTAGGTACCTGATGTCTCAGCAGTGATGTGCAAAGAGCCCTGGTCCTCCAGAGGCACTGCCAGCAGAGAGGCTATGTTCTGGCTCAGGTTGCTCATGCTGTTGGAGTTCAGCATCCCAGACTTCTTAACCACCTACAATCACAGAGCAGTATGTATTCAACAAGACGTTACTTTTGTTCCCCATGCACAATTAAAAAGACATACAGGAGCATTAACAGCATGCTGAAGGAGGCTACACTAAGAAGAATGATCCCATGTAACTAACAACATGCTAAACAACTCTAAAACTGCTTCCCATGTAGTTTAAAACAGAATTCATATAATTGGCAGTGAACTGAATATACGGTCTTGAATGGTAACATGACAAAAAGTAAGTAAATGCAATTGTGTTCCGCTGTCGAGTAGCCTGTGTTCGCTGAAAGGTCATGTTTAAAAAGCAAAGTGAACCTGCCTGTTTGAGCTGAGGAGTCATGTCCTTCCAGTCGGCCAGCAGCCACTTGCACAGTGTGAGCACAGACCTGCAGGAGGCACTCTCATTCTTCCTCCCACTGCAGTAGGTGACTGCCATCTTGCTCAGCATCTCCATGGCTGCACTGGACTGACCTGTAAAACATACTCTTGTAAGGGACTTACTTATTATTCCCTGTAAATTATTAAAGAAACGCTTAATACCTGCAGTTCTCAGGACCTTGGCCTTCTCGATCTCCAGCTCTGGGCCCCATGTCTCCTGGAGGGCAACGTCCAGAGAGAGGCGCGTGAGGGCAGTGTGCAGCTCCTCCTCTGGGCCTTCCCCTGGAACTCGCTCAGCACACTTATTCAGCAGACGCCATGCCAGGTGAATGTTGCCCTTTTTACGGGCAAATTTGATTGTGGTCAGATACAGCTGCATCAGATGTCCATCTACAGAAGATGAAGAGCCTAGAGAAGGAAAAGCATTACCAATAACCAATTAAATTCTGTAAAAAGACACATTTCACACTAACAATCTGATTAGGATATAGCATAATGTTGGATCCTCAGAACTTGTTTAAGTCAGAAGAGCTCCAGCCTCACCCTTGAGCTTGTGCAAAAGCCTCTTCTGGAACATGGTATATCGAAGCACTTGGAGGAATGGCCGTACGTCCTGCTGCTTACAGGAGCTCACAGCCTCACTGTACAGGGGGATGACACACTCCTGCAGACACACAGGGTTAGTGGGATCAATAAAGCATGTCTCTACATTCATACTAGGGATGGGCATTCGGTGAAATTTTCTTAATCGATCGTCGGAAGAATTAACGATCGATTATCGATTAATCATTAACGTTTTTATATTAAAATGATCATCATTATTATTACTATCTGCACTACTAATCTTCATACATAAATTCAACTTTACGACATATAAACCGTAACCACTCTAGAGCCACATCAATCCGTTTGAAATTATAATGTGTTTAATTCAGTTTTGCGCAACTCTCACAAAAACGAAACTTAAAACCGCATCGCTAATTTGCATAAACTAAGCGAAGATAAAACTACAGCTCGTGTCGCTGATGCGGTCAATTTCTGTCGGATTAAAAGACACGACTCAGGTGAATACAGGTCAGTGTGATCATATTTGCGTTTGTCAAAACCAGGACACCGTACGGGGGGAGGGGAGGTGGGGACTCATCATCGACATTGCGCGACTCTCACCTGGCAAAAATTTTTCCCACTGGACACCAAAACATATGTGCTGCTTTATACACTGTGCACATGGACTCACACTTGTCCCGAACGGAATGCGTGGACTTTCTTGTACAAGTCATCGTTGCACATCATTCATATTTGCACTTCAGTACGCTGCAGACTGACCGACTGTTTGTGTCTCGTTCCTTCTGAGTGCAGAGAGCTACACGTACTGACCCTGTTTGGTCACTCTACGCTACGCACAGCAACCTACATTCGGTTTGTCGATTAAAATGAACGTAATCGATGAAATTCTTAATGATCAATTATCAATTAATCGACTAATCATGCCCATCCCTAATTCATACAGAGACCTTAGAGGTGTGCTTACCTCCTGAGAGGTGAGTGTGTTCTCCAGAGTACTGGTGCAGTGCAGCTGCAGCAGGGGCGGGATGGGGAGGGCATCGGACAGGGTCAGAGTGGAGAGGCGCAGAGGGCCCAGGCAGATCCGGCCTGTCTGCTTCAGGCAGCGCACCAGAGTACTGAAGGAGCAAACCAAAGGGTACATTAAAACGTGCGCCCTATGTATACAAGCTGTTTTTCTCAGTGTGACCCATGGCGGCCGTCTAAGATGGCACTTGATGAATGTGTGTGTGGGCTTACTCTGGGCTGGCTGTGGGCAGTGAGTCTGCTGGTGGCTCTGCTTTGCCCATGGCGCTCACAGCACTACGCAGCACCTGCACCTCGATGGCCCTGTGCAGCTCTGAGGGGTCTGGGCTCATGGAGGGCAGCAGCTTCTTCAGATCTGACAAAATTTATGGAAATTTGAGTTGTTGCTCTATAAGTTTCAAATACTGATACTGCAGTGGGACCTAACTAAACTTCTAAACTGCTCATAGGCATATATTAAACAGCTGTTAAACTGGGCAGTGCTACAAGGACTAACACAAAAAGTGAGGAGGGGCAGGTTAGGGGGACTAAAGGGGAGAGTAAGGAGGGAGGAAAGGTGGGGTATGGAGGACTTAAGGAGAGAGTGAGGAGAGGCATGTGATGTCAAAGGCCTCTTGCAATATAACAGTTTAATGTTTTAAACCACAAACTGCTAAATGCACCTAGTGAGCCAATAAAAATAAAGACTAATAAGAGTAGAGAACTGAAGAGCACTGAAACACCACAGTACACAGTTCAGTCGATTAAATGTCCTGCTTTAAGAGTATATACTCTGCAGTGGATATAAAGAAGAGTGACATGGCCTTACCCAGCTTGTCCTTCCCAGTAGATAGTGCACTGCAGTCTTCCCCAGGCAGTAGCTCCAGCTGAGCCCTGCACTCCTCCAGCTCACCAGCCTCAAAGTGGCTGAGGGCCTGGAGGTAGTTGAAGTCTGCCTTGAGGCTGATGCTCGGGGGGTTAGAGGAGCTGTGCTTTAGTGAGTGGATGCTGTTCTGCCACTCCTTCACAGAGTCCCAGTCGCTCAGAGCCACATAGCACTGACATGCTTTGTTAGCCAGAAAACTCAGCACCTCAGGGGAGCCCTCACTGGTCTTCAGCAGCAGAGTCTTCTTACTGTCTCCTGCAGAACCATCAGTTTAGAAGGTCAGTTCACAGCCAGAGCTTATAAATACATGATCTGGTTTAGTCCTGTTTTAGACCTGTTTTAGACCCGTTTTAGACCTGTTTTAGACCCGTTTTAGACCCGTTTTAGACCCGTTTTAGACCCGTTTTAGACCCGGTTTAGACCCGGTTTAGACCTTGGTTCAGTCACCGGTTTAGACCTGATCTACACTCGCATATCCCCATACGCGCGTCTAGCGCATGCAATGGAGCTGCCCTCATTCACTTTCCATGCATTCTCAAAGTTGCAATTTTTGACAAAACATCCAGACAGAAGCGCAAAACCCGTTTGGTTGGTTATATGTTGTTCTGAGTGGTCCGTCCTTCGCACATTTGGCTCTTACCGGGGAAAGTGCTTCTCAGACCGTGGCACCTAAAACCGCTCCCTGACCTGAACCAGAGCTGCTCCCGCTGGTTCAGGACTCTGGTTTGGACCGCTGTTCCCCAGTTTCTGTGGGTGTGTCCCCAAGCTTAACGACAAACCAAGATGACAAAAAAGCCAGTAGCAGCTGTGTGTTTTCTTCCGGTCGACATAAATACGTTTGTGTCCCTGTCCAATTAGAACCGTTCCCCATCCCCAGACGCTGAGCAGAATTAAATAAAGACAATTTAACGTGTTTTCCATGTAAAACTCAATTCAGAATTATTATTTCTATTTAAACTCGAAGGCGAAGAATTTAATCCGAACTCGAGCACCCCCCCTAAAAAACAAAAAAACAAAACTCCGGTTCTATGCGATTCACGTGAATGACCCAATAGACCAAGAAAAAGGCGATTGTAGCCGAAAGGCGACAAGTTTGCAGGTATGTTAAGACACAGACAGACGGGCATTACCATTGACGCTGTGTTTGGGGCTACTGCTGCTGCTGGACACTCTTAGCAGAGGAGAAGCTGAACTTTTGATGGAACAGTCCACTCCAGTGACCGAAGACAGCTGGTCCTGGTATTCCAAAGCAGCCTTCTCAAACCTGAAGTTGGACACAAGACACATTATTAATATGATTAATATAGCATTTATATAGCGCCTTTCAAGATACCCAAAGCGCTTTACAGTTCATTATTCAGTCACTCCACACTCACTGGTGGTAAGCTACTACTGTAGCCACAGCTGCCCTGGGGCAGACTGGCAGAAGCGACGCTGCCAATTTGCGCCATCGGTCCCCTCCGACCACCACCATCACTCACACCTCTTTCACATCAGTCTATAGTAGATGATTCTCTGGTGTGATGACCAGGTCATATTCACATATGTATATGGGAGCTGGATCCACTCACCGTCCCTCAGCCTGCAGAGCCACAGAGGTGAGCCAGCCCAGGCTGCGGCCTGTGTTGGACAGGCTCCAGGAGACTAGACCATGGATGGCCTCTGGGCAGCGCAGTTCACACAGAGCATCCACCAGCAGCATGAGGACCATCTCCAGCTCGGGGCCCTGGGACACAGGTAGTATACTTTTATACACAAACGAAATGAAGACTGAGTGAGGTTTATAAATACTATACAGTGTACAGACCTGAGGGGTGCTACTCTTCACCTCAGAAAGCAGGTCAAAGCCATGCCGGATGGTGACCGCAGGTTGCCCAGATAGAAGCCCCACCCTCATGAGAGCCAGGCGGATCCGGGTCAGCCAGTCCTGACATGTCTGTCGGTTTGTGTAGAAAAAAGTCCTGATGGCCTATGGTACAGAGAAAAATTCAATGAATTCTACCCTGAGACTACAAGGTACATACTGCAGTCATATGTGAGGAGGTCAGCTGCAGACCTTGGGTGGGGGCGAGAGTGCATTGGCACAGCCCTCATAGGCATTGTACATGAGCTTGTCCAGGTTCTCCAGGTACTGCAGCAGCAGGGCCAGGCGCAGCTGGTTGGAGTGATGACAATCTCCATCAGTGCCCGCCCCAAACCACGCCCCTGCATCCTGCTCTGGGTTGACGCTGTGGGCTGCGAGGCTGCGGATCATTCCTAGGACACAGTGGGTTATTATTAACAGATATAGAGATATAGAGAGTGTGTGCAGACAGGAGCTGAGGCTGGGACCTTCTATAGTCTGGAAAGTATCCTGAGCGCGGCCCAGAGGAGTCCGCAGTTTGGACAGGACGGTGAACTGAGCGGCCTCCCACACGGCCCACTGCCACAGCACCACCTCTGTTTTGAGCAGAGCCCGAGGAACCAAACCAGGCCCAGAGCCCTCCACAGACCCACGACTGTCACGCCTCTCCAGCCTCTGACAGCTCTGGTACAGACGCTCCAGCCATGGCTCTTTACTGTGGGAACAGAAACAAAGTGAGACAAAGACAGCACAAAAACAACACAAAACATACAATCTAGAAAAAGGACTTTCTTTTGGTGGAAATCTTTGCATTAGCATTTAAAGTGTGCAACGCAAATGAGAGGATTGGTGCAGCCCTATTGGTAGACCATTGTCATGTTGACAGTGTCCACATTGAGCACCAAACCATTATTTTGTTAACTGCTTTGTCCTGAAATGATTCTTTTGAATAATTGATTTGTTGTTTAGATTGCGAAATTGTGTTATGTATTTAGTGTATATTTACTAGGGATGTGAATATTTGGCAAAAACACTATTCGAAAATCAATGACAGCTATTCGAATATTATTCGAAAATCAACCCTTCCCCTCCCTCCCTTCCCCCGTGCGCACGCACGCACACACGCATATACGAGATGACAGATGGGGCATTTAAGAGCAAAAGGTTTAATCAAACAACAACCTTCCAAATCAGAAATGAACATCTTAATTGAGCAACCCACATATGAAACAATATGAAATTATATTCAAGGCTATCTCAATTTTAAAAACGCATGACCAAGCACATACTGTAGCCCACTGCGCTACTTTCATTGAACTGCCCGCTGCAGAGAAAACTCGCTCCGATGGCACGGATGTCGCAGGCACACCTCAGTAAGCGCTCGCTCACTTTGCCAGTGAGTCGGGGGTATTTCAGTTTGTTTGTTTTCCACCATGTCATCGGGTCAGTGTGGAGCGGTGGGCATATCTCCTGGCAGTACTGAGTTCATTTGCGCATGTTCCCGTGTTTCGGCGTGTTTTGCTCTCAGATGGCTATGCATGGTGGTGGTTGATTTATGGTTTGCTAGCTTCACCTGACAGATTTTACACTGAACCTCTTTGTCATTTAACAAAATAAATAACGACCGTACGGAACTTTTACTTGCTTTCTGCATTGCTAATGCTATTCCGGAGCAGCCTCTACACTCGGCCTAGTCTACCGCGCCTACAGGGAGTTTTACAGTCTGTTAGCGCCACCTTCTGGCCGAATGCCGTACATGAAATATTGGTTAGGAAACGTCTTTATTCGAAATTACTATTCGATATTCGAACGTATGACGAATATTTGACTATTCCAAAATCATGTCTCATCCCTAATATTTACTGATTTTTTCTAAATCTTTCCTTCATTTTTAATCCTACTACTTTGCCAAAGTCTGTATAGTCCAAATCAATTATTCAATTAATAGACAATTATGTCAAAAATGCACTCCATCAATTACTTTTGCATGAACAAGCATTCCCCTTGAAAATGCACTGAGTGAGTAATAGAATGAGAGAGTGTGTGTTGCGTACCCTCCGCGGTGCAGAACCCCGTACAGGATAAAGCTGATGAGGTCGCTGAAGTCCTGTGGATGGAAGGTGCTGCTGGAGCCCTGGCTCTGGTGCTGGCGGATGGCCAGAGACAACTCCTTCAGCCTGGACTGGCTCTGGTTACTGTCAGCACATGGACAAGCTCTATCAAATCAACTCAGTAAACACATTACTACAAATGCATATGCAGCAACAGAAAGAATACACACATTTCTTTGTGCAATAACATGAACACACTGTTGTGGATTAAAGCATGCACATATGTATAAAAGTGATTTTAAAAAGGTTTATATTATAACACAAAATTGACTCTTGTGAGCCTTTAGCCATGTTATAATGATTTTACCTTATCACAAACTAAGGATGCAACAATATTCAATATAACATCACTCAATTTGATACAGATGCGACGCATGTGTCCCTTTATGCGCTCTGTGTTGTTATTTATATTGGTCCGCAAGGAAAACAGTGCTCCTCAGATGCAGCAAGTAAACGGCTCCCTACAGGCTCACAGCTGAAATATTCTAACAGAGGAGGCTTTTATCTTTCACTTACTTTTTATTTTAGAAAAGATGAACTTTTAAATAATCTAGAATGGCTTTTGGCTTTACATAGGCATTAATCAAATGCACTTGTATACACACATTCGACACACTTTCTATCTACGCAATCTTTTTCTCAGACTCCATCTCAAGTTTTACTCAGAAAAAGGCCCGTTGAGACATTTCTATGCAATAGTACATAGTCTGAGTCAGAAAGATGTGGCAGTGCTGTGTGTCTGTTAAGGGCATAGATTGTAGTTTGTGTGTGTGAGAGAGTGTGTGCGCGCGTCTGTCTCCTGTTGGAGACAAGAGCAGCGCAGACATAGGCATGTAAATGCAGTGAGAAGAGTTACAGTCACGAGGAAAGGAAAGAATCAAAACTAAATAATCATCAAAAAAGAAAAGTCTGATAATGTAAGTATGTACAGTAAGTACAGTAAGTACCGTATGTAGTAGTAGTTTGTTATTGATTGGTTGACGCAGTGCATTGAAAGCCAAAAGTTCAGCTTTTTCAACTGCTACAACCATGCAAACAAAGAGCCAGACACTTGAATGCTCAAGACTCGCTCAGAAACACAGAAGTCCTAGACACATGTCCACATAGACCTGGCATGTAAACTCGACAGCTTAATATAGTCTAACAAAGGAGGCAGGAGCATATACGATTGTGCTTCTGTTTGCTCTTTTTCATTCATTTCCTCTCCTAGAGTAGTACCAGCAGAGACGTGGAGAAAGTCTTACCTGAGAGCCACATCTAGGGGGAGGCTCTTGAGCAGTTTGCTGTAGGCCTGTCTGACCCGCACGGACGAGTGGACCAGCTGGACTCTGCACACGTCCACACACCTGTAACACACACACACACAATATACATCTGTCTTTTTATTTTTATTTATTTATTTATTTTTTTAAAGCTGTGCTTCTTACCTCTGCATGAGCTCGGGGGACAGTGCTGTCGAGAGTACCTGGAGGGCAGTACAGGTCTGTAGACACAGGCTCTGGTCTTCATTCAGAGCTGCACCACACAAAACATATGTTATCAACTGTACATGTGAGCAGGAATGAAGCAAAATACAACTCCAGGTATGTTTTTGATGAGGGAATATTAATATTACATGGTTTACACTGAACAAAGTCAGTTTTGCATAATACATGTTCTTTGAGTCTGATTGCGTCAACACAAAATCATAAATGTCTAGATGAAACAGGCAGACCGTTAGGACTTCAACTGAGGCTTATTTTGGTAGAGCCAACTAGTCAAACAATTATTTCTTCAGCACATTAAAAAAGTATTTATATATATTTTTTATCTAGTTTAGAAAAATATATTCACAGATTTACGAATACATAAAATAGAGTTGTTTTTGACATTTGCATTTAATAATGTATTGTCTTTGCGTATAGACCAGATAACTTAATAATTATTAAAACCCAATATTTTAGTAGATTAGTTACAACTGATGGTGTTTGGTGGTCGTGGCGTGGGTTTGTGGTGGTTGTGTTGTGCTGTGGGTGTGTGCGGTGGTCTGTGATGTGTGGTGGTCATGGTGTGGTGGTGTGTGCGTTGGTCTGTGGTCTGTAGTGTGTGGTGGTTGTCATGGTGTGATGGTGTGTGGTGTGGTCTGTGGTCGTGGGTGTGTGCTGGTCGTGGGTGTGACGGTGTGGTGGTGGTCGTGTGTGGTGGTGTTGTGTGGTGTGCGGTGTGGTGGTCGTGGTATGGTGGCCATGGTATGGTGGTGGTGGTATTTACCATTGGCCAGGAGCCCTCTGCAGAAGCGTGTGAAGGAGGGCAGGGAGAACAGAGGACTGTATGTGTCACACTTCCTCATAAGCACACAGATCTCCTGAGCCCAGGTCAGCAGCAGCCTCCTGAACACACACACACACACATTCAACAAGGACCATTAGATTTTATTATTCATCATTTGTATTATTAAATATGCACAAGGTTAAAGCCAACTACTGCATACTGTTTCAGTAATCTTTCAAAATGAGCAAAAGACAAGCAAATCATGCCACCAGGTCAAGTTACTGGTGAGATCTGCAGAGAGGTGACCCTACTCAAGTCAGCCATACAGTACATAGTTTTTCAGGTACGTTTAAAACATCTTCTAAAAACACCTGTGACTAAAGATAAGATGGATAATTATAATGTCAAGCCACAGCACATTCTTGCTATAACATCTGCATGGAGAAGAGTAGGTCCTAGTCCCAGAAAAGTTACAGTGCACCTTATTATTTACAGACTATACCGTAAATTCAGGACTATAAGCTGCTAGTTTATTCCTCACACTTTGAGCCCTGCAGCTAATAACACGATGCGGCGAATATATAGACGCATTCTTTGTTTGGCACATTGTCCATTCATACACACGGTCTATGGTTTGACAACACATATGGACAACACATGGATACGTGCTAGCCAGGCTGGCACCACCTAGTGCCTCCGCTTTATTTAATTTCTCTCCAGCAACTAGGTCAGGAATCGGAATACACTAGATGGTTTGCAAAAACTCCTGAAGTGCGAGCTCGGACACCAGCCAATCAGCGAAGAGCCAGACATTCTGTGTTGTCAACGATTCCAGAGATTGAGGATTTAAAGCTGGAACAAAGAGAATGTTTGGTGAATCAAGGGGAAAGACGTTATTGCCCTTCTTCCTAGGGGATTTGGGAAAAGCTTAATATACCAGTTAGCCCCTTAGCGGCGTAATATATACTGTACGTCACGACCAAATAGCAGCGATTGGTTAAATAAAAAAAGCACCCGCCTACTGTCGAGTGAACAAATTCTAACACTGCGAGGTCATATGATTTCTATGGATTCGTGAAGCCTGAGTGCAGAAAGCGCCGCTGTCTGTGCAGTTCACACATGGATCTAGGGTTAACAAAGTTCCTACACTAACTAGCGATATTGTCAGCGCAATCAAATAGTTCATCGCCATGTGATAAAATAAGTTATGATGCTAAATTAACATTAGTGAGGGGGATACGTCTTAACCGTATGTGTAAATGATGAGAAGAAATGTCTCAAACTTCAGTAGCCGGACATTCACTCATACCTGACTGATAGAACTAGCCCCGACCAACGAGAGTCTGAAATCTCCTGAAATCCTACAAGACGCTGACATGAAAACAAGACAGGACAGTGGCTCTTGCAGGAGTTATGCGCCGTAGAGCGCGGGCAGAGATGGAGCGATGCCCCGAGGAAGATGCTCGTTTGATTGTGTTTTGAACAGATATTTTGACCTTCATACACACACCCTCTTCATGGAAAACACACAAAGAAATGGAGATGATGCAGCTTTAAAGTTAACTCCAATTGATGTGGCTGTGGAAGAAGGAAACAGAGCTGCTGCACGTGAGCTTGACATCAGTGAGTTGATGGTGAGATTTTGGCGACGGCAGCTTAACGAACTGACTCAATGCAAAAAGACGACAAAAACTTTCAGAGGCGATAAAAGCAGACGGCCCGAACTGGAAAACGTTCTTGAAGACGTGGACACCTGTGGCTTACTTTCAGGTGCGGCCGATATATGCACAATTTAAAAATTTTGTTAAAATATAGTTGATGCGGTTTATATTTAGGTGCATTCAGTAGTCCGAAAACTACAGTACACAATTTCTAGTTCTCTGTCTCCATGACAACAATAAGAAATATGAATGTGTTCTGAAGTGCTCTCCTGCCTGTACAATCACATATGATCTGTGTTGCATCTGGGGCAGACCTGGACTCCGAGTAGAGGTGCTCCTTGACCAGCAGCGCCCCCAGCAGGTTGAGCACAGTGCTGAAGTGCTTCTTGGTTGCTGTGGTGACCGTGCTGATGACCGCTCCATCAAACAGAGAGGGGGACGACGATGACAGGCTGGACGAGATGAAGTGGTCGTGTCTGCTCACAAACAAGCATACAGGGCCAACACACAGCCACATTAGAGGAAATACAGGTGGACGTGAGAAGCTTCTGTTTACAGTAAAATATTACAGTTGCTAAAAAAGAAAGTCCTATCTTTTAATGCTACACTGCCCAAACCAGAGTACAAAAGGTAAAAGTCCATTTGCACAATCAGCGTTCTACATAATGCAATACAAGCTGTGGAAGAATCTATCTACTGAACTAACTCCCAGACATGTATTGTAAAACTTATGGTTGTGAAGCACTGACAATACTGAATGACCTCCCTTTAGATGAGATCTGCTGAAGTTTAATGAGCTCAACCTTTTGTTTTGTGTTTTACGACATGCCATACCACACACTGTGAAACTGAACACCGGCTTATTTGTGTAGGATTTTGATGGGTAACAGTTTTCATAGAAGAACTATTTAAGCCTTTTTACCATACAATACAATAAAATACGGATATTTAATCAACAGACTGATGGAAGAGTGAAATGCAAAAATGGTGAGTAAATATGTATTTTATATGAGTAAATCAAGTCATGATGGAGATGAGTGGTCACTTTGTGGGGGTACGTATAGGGTGGAGAGTGGACACTGAAAATTGTTCTTATGGTAGATTGAGTGTAACCGCATCTTTTATTCTTATAAATCAGGGACAGTTAGAAACCAACTATTCAGCTAGAATTTGGTGTGGAACATGTGTTTATAACTTCAGAAAGCACTTTGAATTACTTTGTGTACGAATTGTGCTATACAAATAAACTTGCCTTGCCTTCATTTTGTACATTTCCCTTTCAAATAAAGCCTAAACCAGTTCCTTTGTTTCAAAAGGCTGTTGCTGCATTTTAGTAATATTAATTAACTAAAGCTAAATAGATTGAAAAAGGTTTACCTAATACAAACTCTGAGTACACTATTGTGTGTGTGCAAGTGAGGTCAATGGGTGGTTTCCAGACCCATACAAAATCAGAAACCATTTGGCCTTTAGCTCTGATGGCAGTTTAACCCACTACTCGTCGTACAGCATAAAGAAGCAGAGGCTCACCGGGTGCAGTGGGAGTACAGTGTGTAGAGCACAGCGTATTGGACCGCAGGGTAAAACACTGCCAGCTCTGAGTGAACCAGCAGCAGGTCTTGACTGAGCAGAGCAAACACGGTCGGGGACAGCGCCCACATCTGCAACACACAAACGACTCACACATTACACTAGCTCCAAAAATATTATTTGGTGTCTGGTTTGAAGGTGTCTCCAAACTTTTGACTTTCTAAATTTTATATACTACCTAATTCCATATATCTTGCATATACTTGATATCTTCTGTATGTACAGAAAAAAAGTATAATAACTCTGTGAATTTGAATATAAAATATAAAAATATTTTAAGTAGCCACCCTTTGCTCTGTCAACAGTGTTGCAAAACCACAGCCTTCTCTCAATGAGCTTCATGATGAATTCACATAAAATAGTTTTCACTTCACAAGTCTGCCTTGCCAGGGTAAAGAAATGCCCAGAGTGCAAAGCAGTGATCAATGTAAACGGTAGCCATTAAAAAAATATAATAATAATAATAATAATCTAAAAGAGGATACATTTCTTTTGTGTTTAGTTTTGTTTGCAACAATCCATGCATGTTCATGCTTTCAGTGACAATCTACAATGTAATCATGGAAATAAAGAAATAAATGAAATTTTACTGGCTGTGTTTACAAACATAACATATTCTTTGATTTAATAAAAAGAAAAGCGGACTCCCCTGTGCGTTACCATGGAGCTCCTGTTCAGAACAAATATAACTTGGTGAAATAACTGCAGTGGAGTGAGGTTTGATCAAGGTGCATAGATACTGTAAAGCAGGCGTCACCTTCCTCTTATCAATGCTCAGCTAAAACAGTGCATGTCCTGTTATCCCTTCCAGTTCCAGTGGCAGGCCTTACCCCGATCAGAGAGTTCTTGGTGTTTCCAATGGTGGTGAGGGTGCTGAGGTTGAAGATGACTGTGAACTGGGCCTTGTCTGGGGGTAGACTGAGGGAGGAGAAGGCCGGGTGCTGGAGACTTTGTGCTGGACTTTCAGGGCTCTGGGGGCTGTAAGGAGGCTCCAGGCTGCTCTGGAGACTGCACAGAGCACACGCCATCTCCCCCAGTACCAGCTTATAGGCCGCCTCCAGAGTGGGGATGTTCTTCAGGCTCAGCAGGGCCTGGTACACGCTGTGCACTGCAGACATCACCTGCAGATGAAGAGACATTAGAAAAGCTCCAAGACAATGTCCGATTGGCTTCAAATATTGGTCATTTCATTCAAACTGATGAAAAAAGATACCAAAACTAGAATGGAAACTAGATAATAATTTTAGCAAGCATCAATACATACACAGTCCAGATCACAGGACAGAAATGAATCTTTCATGAATAGCTTTAGAATGATCTTGAGCTGTATCAGAACAAATCTAAGAGCACATAGACGAGTATACGCCCATGGACCACTATGGAACCTAATTGGACACACATTACACCGATATAAGGCCACATGGTCTAATAATATTTAATTTATAATGTTTTTTATAATCTGTGTGGTATTGGAATCGGCATTGAGCATCGACTATATTCCTTATATATCAAGAAGAACTGTTCATATTGTGACGACACTACTGCCTACACCAACCTCGTTCTCTCTGTGAAAGCGGAGCTCGAGCAGCAGAGAGTCTGGGGCCAGTAGTTTCTCCACATACGACGCTGGCAGCTTGGTGTTCACTTGCTCCACAATCTGACATTGTAAAGAGTTAAAACACGTGACATTTATGGGGCACTATGTATTTTGGATGATAATAAACGTGTGTTTTATGCTGTGACTCTAAACATGGTGTTGCATGCTTAAAGCAGTAGTACCAGAGTGAGCAAGCTGAGCACGGTCAGGTTGAAGTCGGAGCCACAGGTCCTGCAGCAGTTGAGCTGGTCCAGTCCGTAGGCCAGTACAGCATCCATCAGAGGCCCACATGGCTCCACACTGGCCAGCAGCACCCCCACACACTCATTCCCCGCGGTCAGCACAGACTCACAGAACTGCACCTGTTTGGCTGTGCGCACACATGCCAGCACTCGAGTCAAAACCTGTTCACACACAGAGGGACAGTGTGGTTTAACAATGGTGGTTAAATGTGAGACATGTCAGAGTGCACCAGAGCACTTACATCTGTGACATAGGCCTCTGTAATGGGAGGCCCTCTTGCTGGAGTAAACCTCTCTCCAATGCTGCGCACTACTGAGCTGAAGACCCGCAGAAGAGCAGCCAGTTTGGGCAGAGACACAGAGGGAGGAGGGATGTCCTCTTCCACAACCTCCACAGAGCCCACGTGGTTCAGGTCCTGCACACAGCATAAAGGAAAACTATAAGACTCTATATCAAGAGCACAGAAGAAGGCTCTTCATAAAACACACTAGTGTAATGTAATGCATATTTAAAGGCAGTGATAAGGTCACCTCTGCGTAGGCTTCCATGTCCTCCAGGAACTGTCCAAGTAGAGTGGTGGAGAAGGTGAGGTCTGCCACCCAGAACTGCTCCAGGCTCTGCAGCCAGGCTTACAGAAGGGTAAATCACATGTGAGTTTTGGTCCAAATAACATACAAATAAAACGTTAAAAGCAGTCAGCTCCTTACTCGACACCTGCTGTGTGAGAGACTGCTTCTGGGTGTGGTCAATATGCCAGCCCACCAGGATGTCCACCGTGTCCTGTGAAACAAATACCAGAGTAACACAGTTTAGATGGGCTCTGTGCATATGAGGAGGAGGAAAAAGAGGAGGAGGAAGAGGAGGAGGAGAGTCTGACCCTGAAGTTGGTGCTGAAGACATGTGGGTAGCAGCGGGCCACCTGTAGGATACACCTAACGCTCTGACACAGCAGCTCTGGCGTGTCCACGTTCTCCAGGATGGACTGCAGGTTGTTCATCACCATCTGAAGCACAGACACATCATGTTCCTGGAGCAGACTAAACAAACTACTGCTCTGATCATGCTCATTTACACTATAGTCATGCAGCTTTAAAACATGCCATGTGTATCATTGTCACACTGCATTTATTTAACCCTAAACACTTCTGCAAACTAAAGTCAGTTCATAGTTCCTAAGATGCAGGTTTGTTCTGCATGAAGGGCTGTTGGTTTGGGCTCTGGTGTATCAAACCTCAGACATGCTGCAGCACGCCTCTGAATGGAGCCTCAAATACTAGGTTTGAAGTGCATGAAGCAGAGCATGATGTTAGAGGCTCAAGAGGAGGAAGGTCTGTTGTCACTAGACTAGACCAGCGTTTCTCAAACTGTGGTATGTGAGCTCCTTCACATGCTACACGGACAGCTCTTCAGTATATGGATTTGCCTCATTTAGAGTCCATTTTATTCACTTCTGTCTTCCTTTGGGTAACTTTTGTTTAGAACTAGAGAGGAAATGATGTAGTCCACTGGATTGCATCACACTTGAACTAGTTCTGGTCTAACTCAGAATGCCAAATCATTTCTTGGGTGTGAAAGAATATTTTATAGCGCTGTAATGTTAATGTCTTTTATTACAGGCAGAAGAGCCCATTGAAAAACAACATCTCTTCTAAATAATCCACCATTTTAAAACACATCTGTTGACAAACTATTTCATTGGTGCAGACTGACTGTGTATAGGAGATTCATCTCTCAAAGATGTTAAAGTCAAGCACATGCCTCAGAATAAATGTTTAAACTAGGGTCTGAGAAAGCCAAGAACTAGTTAGATTTAAATAGATACTTTCTTCACCAAATTCATATTTTTCAAGCAAAAGGGAAGTATCAGAAACAGATATTCTAGAATAAATATGACTTATTTTGTCCAACGCCTCATGTTAGACATGCTGGTTTAGTACTGTCCCACCTGCATGACATGAGAGAAGGCCTTCCTCTCTCCGGCTGCCTCCAGGGCCCTCTGTGCTGCCACCAGGTAGAGCAGGCGCACCTCATCCCGGGTGCTGGATGAGAATTTGACAAAGAGCCACTTAAAGATGCGCTCGGCCTCATAGCTCAGGACGGTGCAGAGCAGACCGAGGCAGGAGGCTGCGTCCTGCCTCAGCTCCCACAGGAGTTTACTGCTGTGAGACACAAACACACACAATCAGCTTCATTTGGACTCACATCCAAAAGTAACAGTTACCTTAGTAACTACATAGAGAAATGTGTCTTTAGGCTCAAGGTCTGAATAAAAGTCACATTTACTGAAGAATTTAAAATATCTCCAGTAAGATGTGTTTGTGTCTGCGATACAGTTATAATCTATGACACCCATGGATCCTTATGTTATCATCTGGACATTTTAAATCACAATACGAAAATGACAATATAACAAACAAGTGACTTCTTCTATGACTTCTGTGTTATCTCCCACTGAGCACTGCAGTTTTCTAACGTCAAGGTAAACGTCATCACAACAAAGAGTGACATGCTGTCGGCCCTTCTAATGGATAGCTGCACATCACAGAAGATTTTTTTTTTTTTTTTGTAGCTGACGAATACTACATGTATCACCAATTGGAGAAGGAAGTGTGTACATCCCACTGGGCGTGTACAGGTGGAGCTGAAAACGGAGAATGATTAAAGTAATGGCCACTTGAATACAGGATAATAAAGATGACTCAAACGTGCATGAATCACTCCAAATACAACTTCAGAGACATGCTTAAACACTCTAAAAGATCAATTTTGACCAAAATCTGAATTGACACAAATGTTTGTAAAAGATCTAAACTACAGAGTTAGGGCTGCACCACGTATTCCAAACAAATCACAAGTAGGCAAGTAAGTAGGCAAAATGATCAAATATTTTAGGTAATAGTGTATATATGTGTTATGTACCATAAATGTGCATTATGTACCAAATAAAATAAAAATGATAGTAGTTATACTAGAAGCATGTCCTGAAATGCACAGGGTTCTTGCATTAGTTTATCAGCACATCATATTTCAGTCTTGTCTGCTGATATTGACAATGTGCACTATTTTTGAAAGAGGAATTGCAAATCTAATCACAGTACTGGCTAGGGCTGTGCAAAAACTTGACAGATTGATAGATTGCAATCTCTGATTTGGTCTGTCTCAATGATAAGGCACGTGCATTTTAATCAACAGGTCTACAGCCAATCACTTGGCAGTAAGAGTCCATGATGCTGATGTTTTACACTTTTGTTTAGGAAAAAGCAACCTGAGTCACAGTGCCTCTCTTTATGTCTCCTCATGTGTTCACAAGTTTTGACTTAAACCTGCACAGTTTGACTAAAGTCCAGGCTCCCTCTTTCTGCTCCCCCTGCCACTCTGATCCAACTGCAGCTCCTCACCTTTTCCCCTCGTTCTCTCCTCTGGTGCGCATTTTCATTATAATCCTAGTTAGGTAAAGTAAACAACTGTTTTCTCACCATTTACTCAACTTAAGACCTCATTTAGCAGATGGACATCTCAGGTGTTTCTGTTGATTCAATCAAAGGCCTTACCTCTCATTCAGAATATCATTCAAGGTGCTGAGGATGTTGTCCAGTTGTTTGCCCAATGTCTGCCACACAAAAGGGGAGAGTACAATGTCACAAGAACAGTTACATCACTGAGCTCTGTGCTCTAAACCAAAAGAATTCTCAGTTGGAGTTTGCTGTGTAACCATCAGATTGCAGATGTGTGACCTGGTTAATGGTTCATATCTCTAATCACTGGGCCTGTCCATACGAAACAAAAACTGTCACAGTATAAATAGGCAAATGTAAAATTATGTATTACAGCATCAGAAAGTGGGGGCATTATTCAAACCCCAAAAATCATTGTCACTTGAAAGGAACTTTAAGCCATAAGATTAATATGATAAATTTACGGAGCAAGTCACAAATTAATTTCCATATTTGCAAATCATAAATTTAGATATTGCTTTCAAAAATAACAGAATGTTCAGACTGACAGCCGTGAGAGGGCGCTCTAGAGGCTTGTGTATCAGTATTCTACACATATCTCCTGCAGAAAAAGCCACTGTCCTGCTGCAAGTAGTGAAATATGCAGCAGAAAATGGTAATCGAGCAGCAGGAAGAAAGTTTGGAGTGAGCAAGAAACTTGTGAGCGACCGGCAGAAAACAGGAATGGAGAACGCAGCTTCACGGCAACTGGGAGGGTGCACCATGTAACTTTCCTGGAAGTCATTAGATGACAAAGTATGCACTTCAGTGACAACTGAAGTTGCGTGGATTTGCTCAGAAGTGACACCAACGATGAAGAATTCAATGGATTCAATGGATTTAGTAATTTGGCGTGAGATGGAGAGTTTGGTAAATATATATTCTGTTGTTTATGCTATAGTTATCTGAATAATTGTTAATATGTTACGTTAACATATTAACGTGTATTTAGCCTGTTGTTCTTTATTCTATTGTTATTACTAGAACTTGCCTTTCAAGATAAAATGTCGGTTCCTGGTCCCCGATTTTATAAAATAAATTTTCCCCAAAAAGTGCAACTTATAGTCAGGTGTGACTTATGTTTTTTTTTCCTTCTTCATTACGCATTTTTTGGCTGGTGCGACTTACACTCAGGAGAAACTTGTAGTCCAAAAAATATGGTACTTTCTTTTCTGTTCCTATGTGTCCTTATATGTGTGTAATCCTCAGTGGTGCAGGTAGGTTCCATAGTGGTCCATGGGCGTATACTCGACTATGTGCTCTTATACTTGTTCTGATACAGCTCAACATCATTCTAAAGACATTCAGGAAAGGCTCATTTCTGTCCTGTCAGAGGCCCTTTTTTAGTACTGATACCAGCTCAAATGAGTATCTAGTTTAAGTACAAGTAAAAAATCTGATTTTCTATACTTTTGACAACCCTACCATCTTGTCTTATCATGTCTTTGCGTGTGTGTCTAAATTGAAGACTAAACCAGGACAAACACAATCCCAAACTAGGAGCACAAAGCCTGACTAAGAGTAGCCTGTTAGGATGGGGGTCCCCCTAGCAGGAGCTCTGCACACCCACCGTCTTGCTCTCGCTGTGGCTGATGAAGTCCTTGAGCTGCTTGAGCGTGGCCAGTCTTCTGTCCCGGTCGTCCTCGCGGGACACTCGGCGTAGCAGGTTGGACAGCCGGGCCTCGTCCGAGTGAGCCATGGCCCTGTCTGCAGCACAGGACACATGGAGGACACACGGCGAACACACGGAGGATACACGAAGAACACATAGTGGACACACGGTAAGCATGCTTCAACAATATCAACGTCTTAAAATAAGACACTAAATAAGTTCAGTGGAATATAAAGCAGTTTTAAAGCCTCCAGAGAATCAGTGCAGTGTGACTGTTGGTCACATGAACATTTTACACAAACGGACTGACCATATGTCAAATTTAAGCGGCAACATTTTTCCCCAAATTGGTCACTGAAATGAATAGGATCCCCCTTAAATCAGAAGGGCCACCACAAGAAAGCACTTTTAAGGAGCATTTAGAGGCAAAAGTGTGCGGGCCAGTATAAGGTGAATGCAATGAGGAGGCCTGGCATTATGATCACTACATCGCATGTATCCAAGAACAGATAAACAGCACAATTTTAGGCTCACTATTTATGCTGTGTGCTTTTCCTTTGCATTAGTGGTAGGGATGCACTGATACAGATCCAATTCAACAATTCACAATTCAATAAGAATTTTCATCACATCAGGAACAACATGAACGCGGCAAAAACTTATTTTGATTCCATAATTATTTCTCACATAGATTAGTGTTTAACCACTTGGTCTCTTGTCTGCCCCACAACACTTAAAACCATTGAAAATTTCTGTAAAAGAGTCTAAAAATACTTGATTTAAAAATCCATTTCCCACCACCACTGTCACATTCTGAAAAAGCACAGGCTTTTGGACTTTAGCAACATGGTCACCCTTAAAAGGACTTGCCTAATTGATAAGGTCCCTCACACCAGCACCATTAAAGGAGAACATCAAACACAAAGACATTTCAGAAAGAACCACGTGAGCCCCACCAGGGGAGACCTGCTCATACCCCACAGACCACCTCTTTGGTCAGAATGGATTATCTGTCCAAGGTGGGAACCTGTGGAACAGTCTTCCACTAACACAGAGAGTGTCCTACATACAGCTCTTTTAAAGCTCAAATGAAAAACTGGTTATGCTCAAACCAAACATGTGTCATGTACAGTGGCATTCTGATTTGAATTGATCTTCTATGGACACATACTTGCATGTACTGAATGTGTGGCCAAACTGACTGCAAAATAATGAGAATTGTGCAATATTTGATTGTTTGGCCCCCTGTGACCAGCCCTTTGGGACAATGGATGGAAATGAGTCTTAGAATACACTCTGGTGTGTTTCCATTCATGTTGTGTCATGTTTGTTCATTAACATGCTCTGTCCCAATCAAATAAATAATAAAATAAATGCAGATATTGGTATCAAATATCGGCACTGATTCTGAATAAATAGCTGGATAGGGTATCGGTTCATAATATTTATTAAGCCAATAACCTGGTTGGACCTTTAGATGTAACAAGACAATTTACATGCTCATTGTGGTCTAGAACATCTGAGAAGATTTGAACTTTGATTCATACAAAGTGCTTCAGTCATCATTTTAAGTAGAAACAACAGTTATATAACACAATTAGATCACATGTGTAATAAGCAATTTTCTGTCCTACACTGGGATCAGCAGATAATTAGCCATAGGAATGATATTTATATCGGAACTGAAAAAGCTGGATCAGTGCATCCCTTTTGTAGTATGATAATATTTCAGCTGTCCAGGGTTGAGTAAGTCACTTGTATTGCTATACCTATACCCAAACCTGTCACAAAAACACACTGTGAAGCACAACATACTGTTAAAGAGAAATGTAACATTAAACAGTAATATTGAAAGTACTTTATGCCACTGACTCAAAACACATATTTAAATATATTATATCACTAAAATGCCTGAGCGACAACAAAGAAACAGCAGAATCAACTAATAATTAACCATAATCAACTGTCTCCAGCTCACATCGTTTTACAACTAAAACCCTCATTACTGCAAAGAGAAAGTGCAAGCGATAAATACTGAGCCCAAAAATATATTGTTCCAGCTGTAATATAACACTGAACGATAAGTAAATATAGTACTAATTATACTTTTATTCTGTTCTTTATTTCTTGCAGCTCATGCCGTTTAATTAGGGCTGGATAATTAATGGAAAGCTGGAGAAATTGTGATTCGATCATGTGTAACAATCAGTGATATGATCAATATCAGTTATCACGACAGGCCTAACTATCTGTTGAACGTCTCAGACAAACTTGACAATCCAACGGTTGTATGCACTGATTATAAGAGTAAGAGATATGTCAAAAAAGAACTATCCAGATACACATGTACACTTAAGATCTTTATAGTGCCCAGAAGAGGTAAATAAAGTCACCTGCTTCCTCTGAAAATCACACTCAGATTGGTTAAAGGGGATTATTTTATTTCTATGGGGTATTAACTGCTAAAACACTGCATATTTAGATCACTGTGTTACCTTTTAATGTTTTGATGCTATATTTCTATATAATGCTATATTTACTGAAAACAAGTATTAACATGTTTTATAAGTTTCACTTTCGTTTTTAAGGCTCCCTTTGCTCCCCTGGTTAAGTCACTCCCCCTTCAGAGCACCATCAGAACACAATCAGCATGCAATGTGCATCCTGCTAATGAAACTCCTGCATATCACATCAGGTTTGTCAAGTTGCTGTGTATCGTGTTGCAGTTTTGTATCATGTTGTTGTATATTTGGAGAAGTGTCATGTGGGAGCATGGGTGATGTAGGCTTGTGGGTGGAGCCTTGCACTGAATCTTACAGCTAACTGTAAGGAGGGTTCCAATAAGGTCCACAAGAGATGGTTAAATTACTCAAACATGATAAAAGCCAAATAAAATGTATTTTGCAGAATACCCTCTTTACAGTGTCTTTCTTTGAGCAAAGAGGTGCACTCAAGAGAAAATGTGTGAATTATGGGGATTTGATCAAAATAGCAGATGGTCACAGGAGTGGGTCACGATTGGATATTTTAATAATCAACATTACCCAGCCCTAAATGGTTTGACAAAGAATATTTCACAAGGAATAATACAAACAGGACCTGTATGCTGCAGAGGTTAGCAGCAGTGGACCAGTCCTAGGGTGTGCTCACACTAGCCCAACAGAGCCGTGCCCAAGCACCGTACCACACCCATGGATGGCACTGTGGGACTTTGGCCCGGTTGGAGGAGATGGGCCAAAGCACGGCACAATTGGTCATGTACACGCACACACATCACTTTACTATACGAGCCCCTGTGTGTGTGCTAATGTTACTCATACGAGGAAAACAATCAACAGTTGGGTTCTACTGCAAAATGCATTGTCTGTGTGTCAAATGAATAAATGTTTTTGGAGCAAAATTGTAATCATCCCTCAGTCCCTCAAGTCTTACCCTGTGATTTCCTCATGTCCTTTGTAGCTAAAGCACGGGATCCATGCTGAAAAGGGGTGGAGTCCGGTGTCACGTCATTGGGCCTCAACTCTTGCCCCAGCGACTTCCAATCAGCTGTAGTATCACCAGCATAACAAGGGCCATATCCACCTGTCACACACACACACACACACACAGATCATACAATGCCACATCCACCTATCACACTTTCCCAGACATGAGGTACACAGTTAATTTCACCTAAGCCGTGCTTCCACTCCAAAAGCTAGAGAAACACAGTAATCACTCATTTAGAAGACTTTTTGGGCTTCTGCAGAGTATTTAAGTTGCTCTGAGTGACAGCCTTAAACAGCTGTCAAATGTGCATCCTCCAATAGATGTTTGTGGAATCCCTCAGTCGTCCAGGTAGGATCTATAGCTAAAAAAAATCTATTCTGTCTATTGGGCAAAGGTTTTAGAGTGAAAACATTTCACCACTCAACCAAGCAGCTGCTTCAGTTCTACACTGAAACAAACACATTTGTTTACAGTTTCTGTTTGTTAGCCAAGTCTGTTGAACTACACCAAGTGTCAACTGTGCAAGAGTCATATTTGCATAATCACAAATCGCAAAAAGCCCATAATGGCAATCCCTATTGTTTCCTTGTTTTGATTTAAGTCTAAGGAACCTGTATGCTGCGTTTGAACTTTCAATGATGTGTGGTGTCCCAAAGACATTAGCCCTTACACAGGAGATATTGGACTATTGGAGCTTTTCTGGTTGGTATCTCTGCTCACCCAGTCAGTTAAACTGGTGTCAGCTGTGAAGAACACCATTTAACAACCTCTACAAAGAGCATGCGCTGGTCCTGGCTCTTCAAAATGTCAGCCCAAGCATACAAGCACCAAAGCTCAGAGACTTACCTTACAAATGAACACAATGAGCCAGTGATGTGCACAGTTTGCTGACACCTGCTGGTGTCTGCATACATACATACAAACATACAGGTGCTCACACAATCAGTGGAAGTAGTGACAGCTGTGAAGTGCAGCCTACAGCTGCTGTGTAAAAAAGTCTTTAGGTAACACATTTGAATGCAGTCAGTTTTAAGTGAAAAAAGAGGAGAATTAAAAAGAAGTTTAATAATAACAACAATTCCATAAACTTGACCTAACTGTCTCCAGATATGAGGTAAACATGTTCAAATACAGCTTTTACTTAAAACTATTGTAATGCTGATTTAGTTTTCGTTACAAAAACGTTGGATACATTGGCAAATTTCTTTATGTTATAAAATGTGATTATCCAATCAGAAAGCAGAATGAGCCTCATGAGTCTCTTATTTGGGTGAACAGTTTCAATGCTGAAATCCAGCTGGTTTAAACTATGAATCTATGTTTAAACCTAAAAGAACTCTCTGATCTGACTGGTCACTACCTTCCACAGCCACAGCTGCCCTGGGGTAGAATGAACGAAGCTGCCAATCTGCACCATTGGCCACTACCACATACGCTGGCAACTACGACCACATGCACTGAGACTGGGATAGAACTACCAACCATCTGTGAAACGTTTAGGAAGTTTTATATTTTTAAGAGAGGAAACAGGAGGACTGACCATCTTCCCGTCTGTCTGGAGCAGCGCAGGCATCGCTGGACACTGCTGGGTCAGGGACACTGGTAGACACTTCACCGTGCAACACAGACGGGCCGAGTTCTCTGGACTTTACTCCCTCCGGGGTGGACGAGGAACTGTCAACTCTGGAGACACAGGAGCAGAACAACACGTTTAGCACAGGGAAGAGGCGTACGGTCCAAGCACACGGTACAGGTACACGGTCCAAGTACACGGTCCAAACGCACGGGCCAAGCATATCTCCCTCACTAATGATCCACTCACAGTCTCAGGACAGAGGTCTCGCCGCTGCGGGCCAGCTGTGCCCGCTCAGCCCGGGCTGACTGATGCCAACAGTTGGCTGTTCACACATGAACTTTACTACAGACAAGTACACCAAAAGTACAGTTCCGCCGTGTGGTTGACCACCGTGTCATGACTGTAGCTGTTTGTTAGCTTTTCTAATAAGAGCGTCAATAACAGCGCGGTAAAGACAAAGCGAAAGCACTCAAGAATGTGTCGTCCGAGTGCGTGACATTTGTACTACACGTTCACACTGCGCTCATTACGCACACAGATCCTATACAGATCCCATATATCACACATATATCACACATACATCACACATACAGCTGTTCCACGCAGCGCACACCGCAGGACACAGCTCTGGACAGCACAGTTAGCAGAATGTTAGCCGCCTTCAGCTAATCAACGGTAAAGTGCAACAGCAGTAGCTCCAGGCTGAGAGAGCCGCTGTACGGACACGTTACCCGCGGGCTAATGGCCTGTCCTGGCTGTGCCCTGGCTGTGTCCCGGCTCTACTCGGCCTTCACACATGTAAATAGTGTTGACACATAAGCCCCGCTTCCCATGTGTCCGCACAGAGAGCTCAGGCCTCGGACACAGCGCACACAGCGGGCTCTGCTGGTGCTCTCACCCGGAACAGCGCACGGACCTGGGCTGCCAGTCATTCCAGTGAGGCTGCAGTCTGTGGGCGCCGCTGAGCCGAGACCCCGTAGCTTTTCGGCTCATTCCCCTGTGGACAGCTGCATGGCCCGCAGAGCGCGGGGCGGGGCGGTGCTAGGGCGGTCCTGGTGCGGTGCGGGGCTCGGTAGTGGCTGGTGCGGGCGCTGGTGCGGGCTGTGACGCGGGCTGCGGGGCAGGTACACTCGGTCTCTCAGTGCCTCGGTGCTCCGGAGTTAGCTTGTATTCCAGGCTAAGCTAGGCTAACGCTAGTCACGCTTCTTCCACGGTCTGAGGCAGCACAACTTGACTGTGTTGTTATGAGCGCGCCCTGCTGGTAGCTGCGGTGTCTGCAGTGGGCGCATGTGTTTAAATCAATGGAAATCCAGTCCCACATCACAGTGCTGAGTGTGTTTGACCAGTACACACGCTCCTGAGTGAGTGTGAAGGCTTTCTACAGACTTAGACCAACTTTATTGAGCCACAAGGGAAATGATTTGGACACAGTAGCTCACACATCAATTAGTTATAACAAAGAGCAAAAATATAAATATTAACAATACATTCAAAATAAGTAGCAAAAATAACAAGAGACAGGTGTCAAATAAGGAATAATTATAATGTATATGTTCAAGTAAAAATAAAAAAATAGAATTATAATAATACAAATATATCTTTCAGCTATACACAGGATGTAAGAAGGAAAAACGGTGCAAATATGATATGACAGGACATAGGGCTGAGGATGAGTATTATAGTATGAACATAGTCCTGTATCTCACACTGAGTGGAACTGTAGGAGTCTGCTGGAGAATGAGCTCCTCTGTCCCTCTATGGTCTGGTGTACTGGGTGAGTTGCTGTACAGTTGTAGGGAGTATTATTTGTCCCTCTATAGTCTGGTCCATGATGGAGAGCAGTTTGTCCAGTGTCCTCGTGTCCCTCACTGTGACAAATGTCTCTAGCTCACAGTGGATCATGTGAGCAGCTTTACACATCAGTTTGTCTTTTCCTGGAGCTGCTCCCCCAGCAGACCACAGCCAAGTCCAGGGGCCTCCACAGACTGGGAGAAGATCTCCAGGAACTTGCAGTACACAATGAAAGAGCTGAGCTTTCTCATGAAGTAGAGTCTAGTCCTGCTCTTCTTTCACACAGCGTTACAGTTGTCCCTCCAGTCCAGTCTGTTGTTCACCTGGACACCAAGGCTCTTGTATCAGTCACTATTTCCACCACATGGAACTGGAGGGTGACGAGCTCCACTGGTGTCCTCTTCCTCCTGAACTCATCGCCAGTTCCTTGGTCTTGTCAATATTCAGGAGCAGATGGTTTGTCTAGGACCACTCCACGAAATTTGCTGTTAATGTGCTGTAATCCAGCTCCTGTCCATCTCTATATACCCCAGCATCTGTCCCAGCTCATGTCCAAGCACCTGTCCCAGCACTTGTCCATCTCTGATACACCCTGGTACCTGTCCCAGCTCCTGTCCCAGCTCCTGTCCAGCTCCTGTCCCAGCTCCTGTCCATCTCTGATACACCCTTCCACCTCAAAGTCATCAAAGAACTTCTGCAGGTGCAGGACTTGGAGCTCTACTGAAATCAGAGGTGTACAGAAACAAACGGACACAGGATTGTACCCTGGGGGCTCCAACATTACTGACCACAATATCAGGCAGGGTGCTCCCCGTCACACGTACTGAGGCCTACCTGACAGGTAGTCAGTAATCCAGGAGACAGTGGAGGAGCCGACACCCATCCTGAGCATCTTCTCACTCAGCAGAAAGGGCTGGATTGTGTTAAAGGCACTGGAGAAATTGAAAAGATGACAGATTGGATTGATATGCAAATTGTAGAGAGTTCAGGGATGGTGCCACCAGGGGTCTGAGCTGAGCAAGAACAAATTTCTCAAGCACTTTCATGACATGAGACATCAAAGTAACTGGTGTGAAATCATCAAGTCCAGATGGAATAGACTTTTGGGCATTTACACAGTGCAGGAGGTCTTCCATAGCACTGGTATCCTTTCAAGCTCCAGACTCAGGGTGAAGACACAGAGGGCCCTCATAATATTGATCGCTTATTTTAGTTGTTTTCAATTCAGTCTACTACTGCACAGAACTTGATTACTCCTTTTGATGTGTGTCCAGTGGTGGAAAGAGAACCTCAAATTTGCACTCAAATAAAAGTAGTTACATGGCTAAAATTACACTTGTAATGTGCTTTACAGACTTGTCGAAGTCTCTCAAAGCGCTACACCAGGAAATCATCAAACTAAGACCTGTGGGCCGACTCTGGCCCGCCTAATTGACCGTCCCTCCAGCCCCTCTGCCACCACTTGAACTGGCCATATGAGGGCCCTCAAAAGTTGTCATGGCCTATTTTTTTTGTATTACTTTTTGGCAAATAATCTGCATATTGTGTTTTGGTGATTTTTTTTTTTTCCCCAATTAAAAATATCTTTATATGAAGTATTTATATTAAAATTATTATATGACATATTTACATTCGACGCCAAATTTTCTGCCAAGTTTTATTCTCCTGACAAGCTCGAGATCAAACAGTGACAGTCAACACACAGGCAGAGTACTGTAACTGTAGTGTAGAGTACTGTGGTGTAGTTAAGACAGCAAAATGACGAGTGTTAAAGAAGTAAATGTTGACAGAGTGCAGAGTTTTGAAATAACAGTGCACGACCGATTCTTTTTGTGTTCAGTGTGAGGAGTGTGCAGTTTGTCTGATGTGTAAAGAAAATGTGGTGGTTTTCAAAGACTCTAATCTGCATTGTCAGGGTCAGACTATTCTGTTATACGGCCAGCCCCGACCCCCATCATAGTCAGAAGCAATAATGTGGCCTCCAGTGTCTTGCCTAAGAACACAATAACAGAACTTGGCCTGAGTGGGAAGTGATACTTAATTGTACTCAAAAGTAAACAGTAGTCTACACATGAAAAATTCTCAGGGTAAGTTACTAGTAACTTTTTAGCACATTTTTAGCAGCATTTTAGATTAGTATTCTATATAAATGAAACACTTTAAAGATGAATTTAGTCGTTTCAAACCATAATGGTCATATTCTCTGAGACTTGTCCAATCACAGCAGGTGATGCAGGTGATGGTGATTGTGACTGTGAGTGTGTGTGTGTTTAGAGAGGAGCAGAGACAGGTGTGAGACACATGTGGATCAGGACCACTGGAACATGTGCTCGACTCACTACTTATATGATTTAAAAGTGTCTCATCACAAGTACATGTTTAGAATTATACTCCACTGCAAGTACAAGTTTAAAAATATAATAAAAAAGTACAATTACCAAAAAATAAATAAATTAAATTAAAAATTAAAATAAAATTAATAATAATGATAAAAAATCAACTCAAAACAGGGTGGAAAGTAACTAATAAGTTACTTTCCACCCTTGTGTATATCAGGTCTCTGTGTATATCTGTAGATAGTTTCGGAGCTGGTGTCTCCCTGCTTGTCCCCATGGAAATAGCTAAGTTTAATGCCATACTGTGGTACATTTCAGGCAAAGCAATAACATCTCCATGGAGACAGACTAATAGTGGACCCACCAGAAAAGTTACATAGTGCATCTTTTAAAAGATGTGTTCATTTTTGGAGCAGTGCCTTTTGAATCATGAATCTGTCAACAATTAATGACTCATTGCAGTACTGCTTATGCTACTACTGCCACTACTACTACTACTATTACTACTGCTGCTACTGCCACTACTTGTAGTACTACTGGTACCACTTCTACTATTTCTATTGCTACCATATGCTATTACAACTACTTCTGCTTTTCCATGACTAGAAGAGACTAGTGCCCCTGTAGTGTAAGAACATGCTGAAAATTTTATTTAATACTTTTCTGTTGTATGTTGTACTACTGCTACTGCTACTCCCAGGACTACTATGACTACTACTACTGAACAGGCGTATGTGTGGCCCCCATGTGTGGCCCCTGTGTGACAGTATTGTTCTGCAGTGTGGAGTGTGTACAGAGCTGTGATCATAACAAAAGCACTCAGTCTGTTCTGTCTGTGTCCTTTCACCGTAAAACAGCACTATTCACCCATCACTCCCCTCAACCCCTCAACCCCTCAACCCTTACTCTCACAACCCTGACTCCCACAACCCTTACTCCCCTCAACCCCTCACCCCTCACTCCCACAACCCTCACTCTTCACTCTCACAACCCTCACTCCTCACTTCCACAACCCTCAATCCCTCACTCCTTCAATCCCTCAATCCCTCACCCGCTTACTCCCTCACCCCTCATTCTCATACTCACACACTCCCTCACACCCTTCACTCCCACGCTCCCTCACCCCCACACCCCTCACTCCCCCAAACAGGCCTACTTAGTTCCCCACTCCCACACTCCCTCACCCTTTCACCTCCCATAAATAGCCCTGTTCACCCTCTCACACCCACATCCCCTCACCCATTCACCCTCACACTCCCCCACCCCCTCACCCATAAACAACCCTATTCACTCACCCCCTACCTCACTCCCTCTTCCAGCCCTTTGTCTCACTCACAAAACAACCCTTTTCACTCCCTCACCCACACCCTATTTACGCCCTCACCCTCTCACTCTCACTCTATCTCACTCCCTCACTCACACCCTATCTCACTCCCTCACCCTCTCACTCACACCCTATCTCACTCCTCACCCTCTCACTCACACCCTATCTCACTCCCTTATTTGTTCACTCCCCCCCCTTCCTAACTCACCCACAAACTCAGACCCATTCTTGCCCTCACCTTTTCACTACTACTACTACTACTACTACTACTACTACTACTACTACTACTACTACTACTAACTACTAATACTACTACTACTACTACTACTACTACTACTACTATACTACTACTACTACTACTCTCACCCTCCTTCTTAGCAGCTCCATTCACTCCCTCAACTCTTCCTCACCCCCTCACTCCCCCCTTCACCGTGAGCCCTTTTTGGTGGGGCGGCCAGGACAAGAGCCAGCGCGGGCCCCGGTTGTGGGACCATGAGGGCCACTCCGGGCTCACCGTGCGTCACCGTTTGCGTCAGCGGCTCCACAACACAATGCTGCGCTCTGCTAGCCGCGCACCGCCAAATGCTGTCGCGGCCTAATTGTACTCTCTGTATGAATGACGGCAATTAGCAAAACACAAAGGCTGCAGTTATTTAGGCTAACCGTGACCGTGTCCCCTCAGAACCAAATGTCCCCTTGTCTCTGAAGGGTCACATCGGTTAACCCTGTCGTCAAACGAGCTGTACATTTG